CTTTTTTTTTTTTTTTTTTTGGAGAACGGGCGAAAATCCGTGCGCGCGCAGGATGTCATCCATAAAATTAAAAAAGTGTGGCCTTACCTTTCGCAGAAGGCTTCTGGATCTAACCAAGAAGATTCACATTGCAAACGGCGTTCCAGCTGTAAAAGCTTCCCTTCTTCAAGCCGCTGATTGCCGATCCTGGAGCACATTTCTGGGTCAAAGTGCGGCCGTTGGTGCAGAAGACGAGGGTGTTAGATGATGCAGCGTAAACGCCGTCTGGACCACAGGCACCTACATGTAGAAATATTAGGATTTAGAAGTGAAGCGTGGCGTTCTTGCAAAATGAAGCAACGCAATGCATGATATACCTTGGTTAATTCTTGTGGGCATGATACTTTTGTGATCTAAATATGCTATTTGTCGAAGTTTGCTCAAAAAGTTGCAGCCAGCTGTAAAATTTATGTTTACCTTATATATAGTTTTTATCATAGGTAAATGCAATGTTAATTAGCATAATACAAAGCGTTTGAGGCATTTGGGGACATCTTGCGAAATTCGAAAGTGAATTAGCGGTGACAGGCAAAGAAATTGGATACTCTATGAGTTGAAATGCCTAAACATATCAGATCGTTGGATCGCTACGTTTGTGAATTCCTGCATTCAATCTAAGCCTATTAGTGTGAAGGCGTATAACAAGAAAACGTATGCCAAATGCTGAAAATAACTTAAAGCAATAGTAACTCTTCCTTTGAGAAGAAATGTTTGTAGTATTATGTTCTGAACGCAAATATGGTGTTGTTTACCTTTATAAGCTCCATAGTAACGGTAACGATATCCATAACGACCATAGTATGGAAAACGGCGGTACCCATATCTGTAACCATAGCGATAGTAGCCTGGGTAGTAACCTTTGCGGTAGTAACCTGGGTAGTAGCCTTTGCGGTAGTAACCTCTTCCGCGGAGGATGTCACTATAAAGAAATATAAGTTGCAACCAGAATTTAAAGGCAAACGGGATCGAGCTGGGTGTAGAGAAACAGATGAAAAATGATAAGCCTCCCAAAAAAGACAAAATAATGTTTGCCGTTGCCGCGCGTGTTACTTGACATCTTGAGCTCCATTCCTTTTTTTTTTTTTGGGGGGGGGGGGGGGTTGGGGGGGGGTTGGGAGGGAGGGGCAAGGTGGTGTCAGAACCAGCAGTACAGCCTTAACAGTCGAAGACCGGCAAAGGCCTGCATGACGGACAGATATTTATTTTAAGAATTTCATCGTGACCTCTGGGCCCTTGACGACGAACTACTCCCGGTACTGAACTAAAAGTATTTTTTGTCCAAGGCATGTACCTGTCAAATTGTCGGACGCCAGCTGGCTATATGACTTTAGTAAAACATCTACGGTCTTCATCAATTTAAATTTGTCGTGTTACAGTGGATGCACTTGTTTGAAGCACGCAACAGGCACAGCGGTTGCTTTTAATAGCTTTAACAGCCCCCTTGCGGGCTTAGTTAAAACAAGACCCAATCCACCTTGAGCAGATTTTTTTCTCTATGAACAGCTGGCAAAAGGTGGGGAAAAAACGGTGCTGTCGGAAATTAAAAAAAAAAGTTGAAGTCGCAGGCACTCAAAGTTGAAATCAAAGGTAGTAAGTGCCTCCTACGTGCATTTCATTTTGGAATTCATCTTCAATTTCATTTTTTAAAATTTAATCTCGAATCCATTTGCTTTTATACAAGGTAAAAGTATGCTATTGTACATAATCAAGAGAAGATTTGCAGCAGTTACAAAAATTGGACACACTGGCGTTAACGTTCCAACGCATCCTGATTGGAGGCTGGAAATGAGGCAACTAACTGCAACGGAAATATTGTGCAGCAGACAATAATTTGAAAGAAACTAACAAAAAGTGTTTTACGTGCTACCAAAAGAGATTAAGAAGTGAAAATGATAGTACTTCAAATAATACTGACTAAGGTAAAAAAACACATTAAACAATCACATTTTACAATGTGTAAATTAATGCAAATTCTAACATTTTAATTTTCATTTTTAAATATATTTAATTATTTAATTATCAAACATACCGTACGTATTCCCTTCGGTCAGAGTAAACCGCGCTAACGTAAGCGACAGCCACGAGGGCAACCAGCAGAAACAAGGCAAACTTCATAGTCCAGGTTTAGATGGACAGGATCAGATGAATAAACTACTGATAACCGTTCATGTCAGTGGGTGGCCTTTTTATAGTGTCCGAGGCAAGCCCTTTTTTATTGTAAAAAAACCATCGTTCATTTAAATGTTGTTGCACAGATCGCGTGTTTGTTCGATTTGCTCTGTTTAATAAGGAATCCTGGCACAGATATGGTTTGCGATATGCAGGGCAACAAATGCAGTACAGCAGTATTGCTGTCGGTGAAAATAAACAAAATCGCTAAATAAGAGCATTGAGCTAGCGATAAATTTATCAACCTTGGTCAGCTGTAATAAATAATTTTCAAGGTTGAAGTTTTGTTTTATTTACGGTTTATTTCACGGTCATCTTATCGCATTAAAATATTAAAATCCCATAACCTTTGACCATAAAAGGAGATTTCATCCTTTTTTGTTTTGTAATTTCACTTAATGGTTTCTTTTCACCCATTTGTCTCTTTCCACTTATATGTTTCTTAGAGATCTATAATAGCAACTGGCACCATAGAAAATGGATAAGAACAGTTGAGAACCCCTCCCCAACTCTACTAACCTTAACGTTGTGACGAGAAGAGTTATATTCGTGCACCAATGACCATGACGTTTTAGACCAATCTGACAATTACCTCTTTGTTGTTCAATGTACAGTGACACGCAAATACACAGTTTTTGATGATTTAGCAGAAAATATATTGTAATTACATAACTTAACTGGTGTTTTTACCCGGTAGGATGTTATTGTAACATCAAACGTGCATTGTAGAATAAAGTACTGAATATAGTGGAGGGGGAGGTGGTCATCTGTGCACTGTGTTTTTCCTTTACATGCTTCTGTTCGTTGATGTGTAACACGAGTTAAAGAGATTCTGAAATAATTCTGCGTGTGTTTAGATTTAGTTATCGTCTGTGCCGATTTTGCTAGGAAAGTGAGCCTTCGCGCGCACGCAAATGCTTGTGTAATCGCATGTGTGTCTACGTGTGTGTGTGTCTTTTCACTCTGTGTGTGTGTGTGTGTGTGTGAGAGAGAGAGAGAGAGAGAGAGAGAGAAAGAGAGAGAGAGAAATTATTTGTTTCAACAAATCTCCACTTATCTTTTGGAAAACATTCATAAGTTCCACTTATAAAGCAAGACTCATTTTAAACAAATCTTTTATTTTGAACGTGACCATAAGGCGTTAAATTTGCAAATTCCATGAAAACCGCTTTTCTGGCCGGGAAGGATTTCATCTGAAAAATATAAAGAAACATTCAGCGTTTTTCATTTATATATCATAATTATTTTATACTGATTATATTTATGGTGCACTTCTTGAACAGAGAGCGAAGAGATGAAGGTTATCTGAATATTGTATAATATTATAAATTAACCCGAATTTCTCCGACTGTTTTAAAGCTGGTATTTCCGCGGACAGTATCTTACAATGTCTTAAATAACCCAACATCTTATTGTCATTTTTTCCATTTACGCCCAAGCAGGCACTGAGCCTTTTTTCCAACAAATAAACTTTGGAATTAATGCCCAGCCATAAATATCCGTATATTAATCCAAAAGATCCCTGACTTGTGACTGCCAATTGAGACGCTATAAGCAATAAAATAATAATAAAAAAATGCAACAAACAAAATTGACTTACCCAGCTGTGAGATTAGTTTCAACCAACAAGGTTAACGTCACAGACGGCCATGGAGTAGTACTTTCCTAGCTGCATCTTGCTGATGGCAGATCCTGGAGCGCAGTTCTGAACCAGAGCACGGCCGTTGGAACAGAAGACCAGAGAGCTGGCAGATCTGGCGTACACACCGTCAGGTCCGCAGTGACCTAAATTCAAAGAGCACGTGGCACTAATTCAAATAGCAAGTGGCAGTACGTGTATCAGCATAAGGTTTTTATAAAAACTCAATTTACAATGTGCGGTTCTACACATACACACACACACACACACACACACACACTCTCTATTCTCGTGCTATTTAGTTGTTTTAATTGGGAGACCTCAGTATTCGAGGGAGTTTTTTTAAAAGTAAGCTATTTTTTAAGTCAGACCTGAATTTGGGGCTGGTACGACTAGCATTTTGCAAACGAGTAATTCTTTTGCACAATTCAAATGTTAACCTTGCGTTAAGCAGCTCGTCTCTATCATTTTTTCGCTTTGATAAACTCCTCCAGAAAATAAATATCAATTTTTTTGTGTGAGTGAATGAAATTAAATGCATCGGATAGAGAGATCTGAAAAGTAAAGAAACAATGATCACACGATGGAGGGTATACAAACCTCTAGGTTTCTGGTAAGAAAAAAAAATAAAAATACAGCCCAGCAAACACAAAAACGTTGCAGTATGGTTTAAGAAGAAAAAAAACGTTATGCTGTGTCCTGGGAATTGTAGAAGGATTTGCAAAGCCACAAATATTTGGATAAGATTCATTGAAATAGTAATACTTTTAAGAAAATATGCATGAGCCGACCGATGAAGAGATAAATTTAATTCGAGGCAATTTTGAAAGGCCAATGCAGGTGTAACTTAATAGAAAACTACTGTTTGAAAATTGAAGAGTTGAGTCTGGAAATAAAAAAACATAGTTAATGCAAAAGGGGATGCTGATACATGTAATATGCTAGAAGGATTATTCGTAATACAAACGCATAGGCCTCGAATAACATTTTCACCTGACTCCATTACAGACAAACGAACACAAGGTTCCAACCTAATGAACTGCTTATATGCAAAAGGTCATAAGAAGAAGAAGGTAAAGAAAGGGTTATGGAAATTATAATAACAACGTATATACGTACAAACTTGCTTGACTGCGCCGCAGGTACGTGACTAACACTTTGTATTACTTACCAGGATATTTGCCATGGTAACGGTAACGGTAGGCGCCATATGGGCGGCCGTAGCCATAGTAACCATATCTATGTCTGTAGCCGTAGCCAGGTCCATAGCCGTATGGTCGTCCATATCCGTATCCACGTCTATATCCGTATCCACGGTGGTAGTAGCCGCTACAAAGACATTAAACAAGAACATGATATAAAAGTAACTGAAAAAATTATATTTTGTTAGAATAATTCTGTGATTAAACGGATAACAGCCGTTCGTGAGATATCAATATTTCACAATAAATACATAGTAAATTACTTATAGAAATGCCATAAATTCTATTTTACCCCGAATGATCCGGTCTGGCGCTGACAAAAGCGACAGCCACAAGGGCAACCAGCAAGAACAAGGCAAACTTCATGATCGAAGAATTCTCGGCTAAGGAGCGCTAAAGATCTAACAGATAGTTCCTACTTAGGGATTGAGGTCTTTTATAGTCCCTTACCCCCCACAACTAGGGTCACGACGTAACCCTTCGTAAGATAATCGCCATTTGTCTGCCTGTCATATTGACAGTGCTTTATTGTTCTTCTGAAAATTTGCTTTATCAAGAAAAAAATCCTTTCATTGATCTTGCGTACATCAGAATCAATTTGCAAGGAAACTACTAATGTGTCTCCCTCAGAATTTTGTTTCGTTTTTTTTGTTTTGAAAATATATGTACAAAATAAAGTGAAAAGGTTATTTGAACTCTTTACTTTTTACGCCTAATCATACACAGTCCCTGCAGAAACCTGTGTTGCATGAGCATACGTATAACACGACAGTGCTGTAATTGTGAACACGACTATCAATCGTGAAGAATCGTGCCGCGTTAACGTTATATCCGCGATCACATCAAGACCTGCATTTGAAAAGGAAAATTACAACAAAACAAGTTTTATCCAAAGTAATTTGGGTGGGAAAAAGAGCAAATTAAAATGATTTTTTTTTCATATATATTATGATGGAAGCTAAGCTGCGTAGTATTGTCGATCATGTTGAGGCAATTTGAAACTTTTCACTTCCTACGCAAACTTTTGGAAAGAGTACCTGTGAAAGCTTTTACCCTGACACTAAAGGATTTATTCAATGTGACTGATGTCTGAAAGTTAAAGGTTTAAAATTGTCTCAATATTATTTTCGGCAAATGTTGTTTAAAGCCTTACTTCCCTAAATACTAAATACCACATGTAACTTCTCATATCACTTTTAATCCTTTCCAAGCCACGGCTAAAGAATAGCAACTTCCTGTAATAGAGATATTTCACACCCGCTTGTTTATCGATATTGATAACCTTTTGTTATATAGGTTAATTAACTGGCCCCTCTAGTACAAAGTACTTCTGCGTCTGTATAATCATGTATCCAGTTGAAATTGTGTTTAATCAGACATTTTGAAACTGCTTGGGTAAAACTGACGGAAATCATCAACTAAAATTTAGCAAATTAGGGAATTTCCTGTCTAAACTCTTTGATGTGTAACTTTTTTCGCGTTATTCTCATAAACAATTATAAACAAGCAAAACTGTCAACAGTGATCCAAAATTAGGAATAAAATCTAGTGTAAGATGCCAAATGTTGAAAAATCACATATAAAAGAAAGTCTGGCGCGCCACTGACAGCCATAGCACAGGCATATGCGTACCAAACTCTTCATGTGTATTCGAATAACAGTTTTGTAGTGGGATGGCTGGTTAGCATGCAGGAGTCATTTAGGAAAGATTGAAAAAATGAACAATGATATTTTGTAAAAAAAAAAAAAAAAAAGAAAAGAGACTAAGCCAGAGACTACGACGTCAATTGGTAATTGGACACTCAGACAATGCTACTTTTATTTTAAACAGTTTCTATTCGAATCACAACAGCTATGCAAATTAGGGACGGTTATGAAAAAAACTGACAAGTCATCGTTTGTAAAATCTAACGATAGGCAAAAGAGCGTGTGTGTAAGTTAATGTTTGGCATAAAATTAAGTGACCCCATTATCTCCGAACAGTTCAAGGACAACACGGCATAATGGCCAACGTCATGATGTAAACAACTGGAAAAGTAAACCGTAAAATATCGACAGATGGGTATCTCGTTATTAAACTATAATTCAATTGTAATAAAAGCTTTCTAAAATCAGGCCATTACTGACTTAGCCATAAAGACGGTTAGATACTAGATTCTCAGCGATAATATATGAGGGAAATTGTTCAGTTTGAAAATTTCTTGTATAACAGTGAAAACACCCATGGCGTGCAAAAGAATAATGAAGGATTACCTCGGGTTAGAGGGGCTTAGCATAGTAAAACAAATCGTGCATTTATGATCATTTGAAATACCGTATGTCACTTATTAAATTTAAGTTTTTGACTCACGTCATGGCAGTTTTATTAAAATGTTATCATAAGTATACACACGGGGGTATATATATATATATATATATATGTAAATAGGGAGGAAACATTGGAAGTGCTATGTACAATTCAATACGCTATTATACAGCGCTATCTTTCCTAAAAACTGTGTGCGTGTGTGTGTGAGAGAGAGAGAGAGAGAGAGAGAGAGAGAGAAGTAGAGAGAGAAGTANCCTAAATACTAAATACCACATGTAACTTCTCATATCACTTTTAATCCTTTCCAAGCCACGGCTAAAGAATAGCAACTTCCTGTAATAGAGATATTTCACACCCGCTTGTTTATCGATATTGATAACCTTTTGTTATATAGGTTAATTAACTGGCCCCTCTAGTACAAAGTACTTCTGCGTCTGTATAATCATGTATCCAGTTGAAATTGTGTTTAATCAGACATTTTGAAACTGCTTGGGTAAAACTGACGGAAATCATCAACTAAAATTTAGCAAATTAGGGAATTTCCTGTCTAAACTCTTTGATGTGTAACTTTTTTCGCCTTATTCTCATAAACAATTATAAACAAGCAAAATTGTCAACAGTGATCCAAAATTAGGAATAAAATCTAGTGTAAGATGCCAAATGTTGAAAAATCACATATAAAAGAAAGTCTGGCGAGCCACTGACAGCCATAGCACAGGCATATGCGTACCAATCTCTTCATGTGTATTCGAATAACAGTTTTGTAGTGGGATGGCTGGTTAGCATGCAGGAGTCATTTAGGAAAGATTGAATAAAATGAACAATGATATTTTGTAAAAAAAAGAAAAAAAGAAAAGAGACTAAGCCAGAGACTACGACGTCAATTGGTAATTGGACACTCAGACAATGCTACTTTTATTTTAAACAGTTTCTATTCGAATCACAACAGCTATGCAAATTAGGGACGGTTATGAAAAAAACTGACAAGTCATCGTTTGTAAAATCTAACGATAGGCAAAAGAGCGTGTGTGTAAGTTAATGTTTGGCATAAAATTAAGTGACCCCATTATCTCCGAACAGTTCAAGGACAACACGGCATAATGGCCAACGTCATGATGTAAACAACTGGAAAAGTAAACCGTAAAATATCGACAGATGGGTATCTCGTTATTAAACTATAATTCAATTGTAATAAAAGCTTTCTAAAATCAGGCCATTACTGACTTAGCCATAAAGACGGTTAGATACTAGATTCTCAGCGATAATATATGAGGGAAATTGTTCAGTTTGAAAATTTCTTGTATAACAGTGAAAACACCCATGGCGTGCAAAAGAATAATGAAGGATTACCTCGGGTTAGAGGGGCTTAGCATAGTAAAACAAATCGTGCATTTATGATCATTTGAAATACCGTATGTCACTTATTAAATTTAAGTTATTGACTCACGTCATGGCAGTTTTATTAAAATGTTATCATAAGTATACACACGGGGATATATATATATATATATATATATGTAAATAGGGAGGAAACATTGGAAGTGCTATGTACAATTCAATACGCTATCATACAGCGCTATCTTTCCTAAAAACTGTGTGCGTGTGTGTGTGTGTGTGAGAGAGAGAGAGAGAGAGAGAGAGAGAGAGAAGTAGAGAGAGAGTTTGTGTGAGCAAATTTATATCTAAGACATACGTACCTCACAACATTATAGATTAGATTAATGGTGGTGATTTATAATAATGTTCAGCACAGCCTTGACATGGGAATGAAACAGGTTGACAAACAGGTGTTTATGACATTTATGATGTATTGGGCGCAGGCTACATTGGTCATGCGACGGCGGTGCCGTTTGTACCAGTATATTGGGGTAGGGGCTAGCAGTGCATTATTTGCCAAACACGCAGAGGGAAATCGTAAATGTTTCCCCACCAAAATCCCTGATTTAGAATAAAATGCCCAAAGGTGTGTACATGTATTGCCTGCATATCCCTTCTCGTGCGGCATCCGCGCGGAGGCAAGAGTTTGCCCCCCCCCCCCATCCCCCCCACCAAATCGTACAAATCTTATAGATTCATGGCCTCCGTATCCTCTACGACATTGTCAAAATAGATCTTTTGACAAATTTAAAAAAAAAACGAAAACCCGGCGACCGTTACAATATCATAAATGGTGTTACATATAGTTCCCGTATGGGCATTAATACGCTTTGTCCTTCTAACATGAAGACAAATCTGGTTACCTCAAATAACCAGGTAGTATTTACTGTAGCAACAATCTATTTTTCCTAGAGTAAAAACTTAGAAGATATCAAACTGATCTTCTCCGTTGCACACAGTGAGGTAGATAGAGGGATTTTGATGACGTAGAGTCAGAAGTGAACCCTGATTTTTATAACCGGTAAGGAGTTATTTCAGAAAAAAAAATTGTTGGTTTCTTTGAGGAAGTGATGCAATTAAAATTCTGTGAGCGGCATTTAAGGCAGCAAGTTAATCTCAGTTGTTGGTTTCTAAAGAATGAACAATTTGTTATCACGTAATCACTTCATTTTAATTTAAATTTCAATTTGTACCTGTAATGCCTAACAGAAGAGCCTCACTGTTATTGACTTTCAATACAGTGTACCTTGTACTTAACGTGTCTTGATTAAATTGAGACATCTTTCAATATTTGTATTTAAAATTGAAATATCACAATTATGGCAAATGTGACAGTCTGAGAGGTTATTGACACATATTTTGTATAATATTAAATACATTACTATCCTACTGTTACTATCTTTATATAATCATAACATTATTTTACCTGTATATCACTTAATTGCTGTTGATTTCTTTACACATTTGGGGTTGGCAAAGCACTGTATAAAACAGCTCATTTATTGAGATAAGTCAGCGCTGTCACACACACTGTGTGTTTCATTGACGTGTATCAGAGCGTCAGTTTTTTTTTTTTTGCGAAAAGACCCGCAACAGCAACAAAACATCTAGTAAGGTATTACTCTACCAATATCGACATCTTTGTACCTTTAGGAGTGAGTCAGAGCAATTCATGACAAAAAGGTTTTATCAAAAGTTGAAGAGGTGTACTTTTAACCAGGGAATATACTGCCTTACGAAGCCTTACGATTAAGAGGTCTTCACTTATGACTTAAAGCGTAACTGTGGGGAGTTGACTCACGTGAAGGCATAAGACGCGGAGACATAAGTCATCGGGGAACAGCTGGGGGGAGGATAGCTAGATTCACAATTTAGATAGCAAATATAAAGGTAAACTGTTTAGAGTGCAGTTCAGGTAAAATATGTGAGGTCGGTATTACGTGCCTCACCGTTAGATTGATATGTTTTTCTTACTTTACAGGTATCTTTTCGTGTATTTGATGAGTATGCTTTGAGGAACCCGTTACTCTCTCTCTCTCTCTCTCTCTCTCTCTCTCTCTCTCTCACACACACACACACACATGCACGAACACAAACACACACACACACACATACACACACACATGTCCACGCGCGCATGCATACATACACACACACACACACACACACGCACACACACACACAGACTTTTTCTCACTCGATCCGCAGATTTTCTTTCTAATTGCACAATGCATTGTGAGGCTTTTCTGGTACTGGGTAATACATCTTGTCCTTTGAATCGTTCCAAGAGGAAGCAAAAAGCACCTGTTGTGTGACACTGACGGATAAATACCCACAGCTGGACACATATTGTGTATCTTCATTATGATCATACCGCTATCGATAAACGAACGAAAAAAACACCTGAAGTGAACAGCGAACTTTCAGATGTTTGTAAGTTGTATTTTTGTCAAATACTTCATAATTTTTCAACGAACTTCTTACACAGCAAATTAATCACAAATAGCTTGGGCCGGCGAGGCAGGAATGGCAGTTCTCTAGAAACCGTAGCCCATTCCCCATTACTTTGTTCAGGTGTCATGCGCCCCATATACTAACCCCAATACTCCGACTTACCCTAACCTATACTTATCATATAGGGCCCTGGACTTCCACTCCTAGGACTACCATTTCTGTCATTCTTTTTTTCTCGATACGGAGGTGTACGAATGAAAAGCAACTACACTAACATTACGGGGTAACAACTTTATCTGAGACAATTATGGTAAATGAGATGTTTATCCATATAAATTTGTTTGCACATGCATATAGAGATATACAAACTGTGTCGCCATCCTTGTTATGTAAAAACAATAAAAGGTTATGGTTAAGAGTACGGACAACAAATAATGATCACGTTGGGATGAAACGTGTATTCCCCGTAAAAAAACGGTTTCAAATTTACGTGGAAGCCACGTTCAAGGTAACGTTGCTGCCACGTTATATGTAAGTGGGGGTGAAACGTGTATTCCACGTAAAAACGGTTACAAATTTACGTGGGATCCACGTTCATAGTAACGTTGCTGCCACGTTAAAGGTAACGGGGGGGGAGGGGGGGGGTGCAACGTGGATTCCACGTTCAAACCTCTTACAAATTTTCGTGGAATCCACGTTCAAAGTAACGTTGCTGCCACGTAATATGTAACGTTGGGGTGAAACGTGTATTCCACGTAAAAACGGTTACAATTTACGTGGAATCCACGTTCAGAGTAACGTTGTTGCCACGTTAAAGGTAACGTGGGGGTGCAACGTGGATTACACGTTCAAACCTCTTACAAGTTTAAGTGAAATCCACGTTCAAAGTAACGTTGCTGCCACGTAATATGTAACGTTGGGGTGAAACGTGTATTCCACGTAAAAAACGGTTACAATTTACGTGGAATCCACGTTCAGAGTAACGTTGTTGCCACGTTAAAGGTAACGTGGGGGTGCAACGTGGATTACACGTTCAAACCTCTTACAAGTTTAAGTGAAATCCACGTTCAAAGTAACGTTGCTGCCACGTTATAGGTAACGTTGAGCTGCAACGTGTATCCCACGTGTATTCCACGGTCTAACAAGTCAAAACCGATATTGGTAAGATTATTCTGGCCAATTAATCCATTATTTCCATAGAGTTTTCATACATATCAAAGACGTAAAATTTCAGATGTCTGTTAATACTGTCTTTTTGCACTGCTAGCTAAACAACTAATATTATTTTTTTCGTAGAATAATCAAATATATGAATAAAAGTGTATGTGATTTATTGTGCTATGAAATTATTTACGATGATAAAGTTCGGAATATATGCAGATACTACTAAGTACATCTATACCTTCATTTACAATGGTAAAGTAAGAAACTGACGGTTTTAATTAACTGTTTGTCAATCGTTGATGTTGATAAACAATGTTCCGTTGACACAAATCAGTTAAGAGAACATTTGATGCATGATGAAGTTGAACAGTTTCCTTAGCTTTGTGTTTTCAATAAACAGAAACATTTCATTTAAAATTTCCTGAAGTGCACATTCTTGATGAAGTCTGACTGTCAATAGACGAAATATTTGCCGGCAAATTTCAGTAAATTTTTCCATACCTATTTCAATAATTAAAATTGGCAAATGAACCTTAATTTGTTTAAGAATGATGGATTATGAATGTTATTCACACGTTAAGATGGCGAAACATCTTGCTTTTACAGACAGTAAGACCCCTGGGTTATGCATTGTTTTCAGCACGCGACACACGTGAAATGAATGAACAACGTGCTTGAACAATAGCATACCAAACTTTAAACGCCGTCCAACTTTTTAGAAGTGTTTTTTTGTTTCTGTTTCTTTGTTATTCATTTCTAACATGCCAAAGAGCAATCATCATAAATAATCATAGACGATGCGAGGAAAAAAATTAGATGCGTATTTAGTGTAAGTGACTTGTTTTGACTCGTAAATTCAAATATAGAAAAGTTACGATGCACATGTATATTTTGAACATCCAAAAAATGAAGAAAATGGTCTTATTTAAAATTTGGATGGAAAAGATTATCAAAAATGCTTTAAATTAACCTTTTTAATCGACACGATACCCGGCATTACAGTGCAGTAAACAAACATACTGTAAACCCAGTGTCAGTGAAGGGAAACTTAGAGTTATACAGTTTTAGTGGGAAGACGGATATGGATTAAAAACCCTAACCTTGCGTAATATACGTAAAACATAATTAAAGGGTAAACTCAATAGGACACAATGCTAAGCGTAAAACAGTTTGGGTAAGTGAAGTAAGTTAAGTTGGCCTTGTTTGTAGTGATGAGTGACAGCCTTAAAATGCCACCTTTTTCTATCCTGAAGCCGCAGAACGACAGCGTTAATTGTCATCATTTCCCAAGCCGCTTGTCTAATCATCTGCGCGACTACACACAACCATCGTTCGTCTATGTAAATAAAATAAATTGTGGTTAGTATCATATTTTTCTTTGAGCTGCAGCATTGTTTAAAAAATCAGCTAGCAACGTGAAACAGCGGACCACATTAATGAGCTAATTACACATATCTGCACAGGTCATCGACGGGCTATAAGAGTTCCATGTCCATGTTAAAATAGCCCAATGCTTAGGATCCGTGATCGTATAGTGCCCTACCTCTCTTCAAATGGCATGATTGCGGACTTTCCTCTGCATAATAATAATAATAATAATAATAATAATAATAATAATCTGGACACACATGCTATTTTTGAACTGAATCAAAATGCATTGGCAGGTTTTAATGCACTCAAGATCTCTTGAGGTTGTGCTATGTGTGGAAATTTGTTGCATTTGTGAACAAAAAAGTTTTTTTTCTTTATGGGCCAAAAGAAAAGGGTTTATAGTGGCATTTTTTACCTGCGATCTTATACAGCTGTGAGTCTTGGCTTGGGAATTGTTGAAGCAATGTAGAGGCTGTGTATATGATGGCTGTCAAAACTGTACTGCGGTTGAAGAGCGCCTGTCATAACTTGATGGATTTACATTTATAGATGACCCTTTCAATTTCGTATGGGAATTGTTTAATGTTTGAAAGAAAAAGGTATGAAGATTGATTTAGTAACATCTTAAAAATTTATCCTCAGATGAATACTACTATATTCCATTTGCCGCACGTGTAAGTATTATAATATGTGCCTAAATATAAGAAGTTCCTCTTCAAGGTGATTGCTTACTAAATAGATATGTTTGCAAATATAGCAAAGTTGTGCTATTTATTAACTCTTTTCTTTGTAATTTATCCTTAAGAAAATGCAGATATTTTCCAAAAAGGTCAACAAAATATAAATGGGCAGACTTTTTCTTATAATCTCTACAAAACCTACATAATTAAAATAATTAAATAACACACTAACAAATGTCAGCTGGCCTTTAATTTAAAATTTCTTTAGTCAGTGTTACTAAATCAATATTCATGCCTTTTCTTTAAACATTAAACAACTTAAAAAATATCATCCTCAGATGAATTTTACAAATCACAGGTAGTGAAATAACTTGCCCATTATGCTGTTAACAATGCAAAGACACAATTGGGATGTGGTCTGGGCCAAGTCCTTATTGGGCTGTGGTCTGGGCCACTTTTGAATTAAACAAGATTAGGACTGAGCCTGAGACATACACAAAGCGTACTCCAAGTATCTACATGTGTAATGTATTTATCAGCAGCACCGGGTAATACGCTCCATGTATGTTTGTCTGCTTTTTTGATTGTGCATTACTTTTTGTTGTTCATGTTGCCACACATTCGCGGTTATAAATTATAACTTCTACTATTACTACAACTGATATAAGCACGTAAGCAGCAAAAGGTCGAAAAATTGATCGTATATGTACGTAAATGCCATGTAAGTTTAGATTAAGAGATGTCTAACATTTGGGTGTCTGCATTCGTCTGCAGACAGCCACTGAGGCGGTCCTATGTATTCCGCCATGGCTGCCTTGCTGGTTCTGATTGTACTGATGACGGCAACTCGTACTCTCAGCAGTGTAAGTACATGCCATCAACGAAATAGTAGCAGAAAGATATGTAATTCCAAATATATATAGAAATTAATATGCCTTTCAATTAAACTTTTATACTCTTTCGGTTCAAAGCGAAAAATAACCAATGACGCCTTTCCCTATAGGCAAACCGTCGTTTTGTTAACGTGTACGACTTCAAAGATTACGCAAAAAATCATCTTCACCCACACGCCTACAATTACATCGAAAGCGCTTCCACGCGAAGGCAGACATACGACGAGAATATCGATGCTTTCAAGACATTTCGACTGCGGCCAAGGCGTCTGCGGGATGTGAGTCATATTGATACAAGTACAACTGTTCAAGGACAAGCAGTCGATATCCCAATAGGTGAGTTTGAAATCTGCTGTAAAGTTTACCATATATATCATAAAGTAAGCATACATTTTGATATTTAACAATATTTTAATGCACTATTAATATTATTGAAATGTGCTGTTTTAAACTTATCTTGTAGAAAAAGTTTTTGATAATGGTACCTAAATATTTGTATAGTTTTTGCATATTCAGAATGTCTTATGTGACGACAGTAATAGTGATGACGTTAATTCAATTTAATTGTAATTCGATTTTTTTCTGCTGGTACATTACAAAACTTTAAAGGGAGAAGTAATGATCTTTGTTGGCAATGCTAAACACTGATGAAAACCTGAAACCGGACTTTGCGAAACAATTACTGAAAATTGTTTTAAATATAGTTGTCTTTTCAATAATTTCGAGTATGTCAACTGGTACAAGGTCAAATGCTCATTTTTCTTCAACTCAAACCACTTTCGAAGATGACATGTTTTTGTGCCAAAACCCAGTCTACTAGACATCTAATTGCACGTATACCCTTGGGATACGAACTACGAAGATGTTTTCTTTCAAGGCATTGCCCCGACTGCTTTCCAAAAATGGTTCCATCCAGAAGGAGTGATAGGCACAGCATTGGGTGCCGCTGCCAAAAACGCCCTCATGATCCTCGCTGAGGGCACGGGCACTCCGTTGGAGGCTGTACACAAAGCGGTTCCAAACGGACATCGTTGGATGCAAGTGTACATGGTGAAGCCGAGGAACGACATGCTGAGGCACATTAGGAGAGTTGAAGCGGCTGGTAAGAATTAGAAAGAAAAAAAATAAAAATAAAACAAAAAAAGAAAAACGCTCTTTATCACGAGAAGACCTGTAGTACCTATGGCATCTTTTTGAAACTGCTGATGTTGTAAAGCAAATGCCTTTTTTCCTTCTTATTTGATGAGGTGATGTATGGAAAGTTAACGTAAGGTTAATGTTATTGCCGATATTATTTGTGGAAAACTTCCTCAATTAAATTTTACGAGATATCACAAATGCCAGCATTCAGTTCCAAATAGTATAACTAAGAGAGTTACCAAAAGACATCGTTTGATATTCCCCGAAATATGACATTTGAACGGATTTTTCTGCTAGCTTTCTATACTGTATATAAATGGGGCAGTTTTATGTAAATAGGTCAGGTAAGGAGGTTAAATGTATGACCAAAAAATTTAAAAGAGGAGCAGTTTAAAGCTTTTATGGTTGAGCGAGTGATTTATTTAGTTTATCCCTTGACATGTAGAATTTATCTGAGTCGTGTAAGAAGTAAGTAAAAGTGGTTTATATGCGTTATTGGGAATACACGCTCCACCGACGCTCAGTTCATGTGTACCTTTAAACTTTTAGTGTGCATTGTAGGTTACCAGGCCATAGTGCTAACCATAGACGATGTACCCTCCAGACGGATATCTTACTCTTCTTTACGGGGGGAATTCGAATTCCCCGCTTCGATCGACTTTGTCAATCTTCCCAGACCAGTAATTGGTGGCACCATAGCCGACTCTGTTCATCAAATCAACACAGTCACATGGGACGATGTTGATTGGTTGAAAAACGTGACACGTCTCCCAATCATTCTTAAGGGAATTTTAACCCCAGAGGACGCAGAAATTGCGGTGCGCCATGGTGTGGATGGCGTGTATGTATCCAACCACGGTGGCCGGTGAGTTGTGCGCAGGGTCAATGTTAATTGCATTGCTCTAATTGATAATCTAAAACTGCGTAAAGGTAAATTGCAAGGGCCCCATCAAACGGTTAATTTGATTTTATCAAAATTTACATAATTATTGCAGCACACTTGATGGTACTACAGCCTCTATCAATGCGCTCTGGGATGTGGTGCGTGCCGTTAGGGGGCGATGTGAGGTTTACCTCGACGGAGGAATTCGGAACGGAAGGGACGTTTACACGGCGCTAGCTCTAGGTAGGCGGCAGGGCAAAAGGTGTGGTCAGTATAACGTACACGTTTATGAGATGCTGGACTTGATATCCCCATTTAATTGATGTTTAATGTAGTTTGTCTTGGCAAATCGGGACGGATGTACTAGAGCAATAATAATAATAATAATAATAATAATAATAATAATAATTCATTTCTTAAAAACGCGCTACACATGCGTCTTACCCCTGTTAACATATCTATATAAATATTAAAACTACACAGATTTATTAAAAAACTGATTTAAATGTAATTAAAACTAAAATATACAAGTTAATTCAAGGTTTTGAAATTATTTTAAAACTATAAAAATCATTTAAGGTACATACGAACCGAGCATCTGTGGAGCGTGGATTCCCAGTAACACATGTAAACCACTTCTACTAGATTCTTATATGACTCAAATAAATTCGACATGCCAAGGGATAAACTGAACAGATCACTCAATCAGCCATAAAAGACCTTTAGACTGCTCCTTTCTTTAAATTTTTGGTTGTAAATTTAACCTACTTTCGTGACCTACTTTCCTGCCACATTGACATACAGCTTAGAATGCCAGCAGTAAAATCCGTTCAAACATCATTTTCGGGTAAAATTAAACAATGCCTTTTGGTAATTCTCTTAGTTATACCACTTGAACCTATATGCTGGCATTTGGTTGGTTTTTGTGACAAAAAATTGACTTTGTATGCATCTTTAAAAGACATTTGATTTGATTTGCTAATAAAAATTGGACCAAAATTGGTGCAGAATTCTCAAATTTCCTTTGACCTCTTTTTAAAGACAATTTAAATTGAATCCTATAATTTTTAGCTTATAACAAAAAATATGCTTTAAAAGATTTAAGATTAACAAAATAACAAATTACACGTATAAGGTGGCAAGTTATATAACTGTATTGTAGCATATGTGTAGCTATATTTATTTTTGTCTATATTTAAGGAGCCAAAGCTGTCTTTATTGGTCGTCCTGCTATCTATGGTCTGGCCACAAACGGCTCCCAGGGTGTTCAAGACGTGATTGAGATATTGACTAACGAACTAGAAAGTACAATGGCGCTCACAGGTACCTCTGCTCTAGTAGTGCTTAATTCTGTTTTAACGTCAGAAATGCCGGGAAGGGTAATAAATATCATTTAAACATAATCATAATAAGTAAATGCGTTTATGTCTGAGTAAAGCATTTCATTGCTACTTACAAGTTAAACGTAGAGGTAAAGGAAAATAAATGGTGTTTTGGCGGTGACTTTTTTAATATGCAGCGCTACCGGTATATTTCAGGCGTGACCCGAGTATGCGATATCAGTCCTTCCTATGTTGTGAAGCAAAGTTACTACGAGACTCTCAATAGACCACCATGTCGCCAGTTTTCATCAAAGCAACTTTCGGTTAACTTCGTGGGCTAGATATTCTTCCTGTAACGCTCAAAGAACCAGTGGAAGCCTCTCGAACAAAAGGATTCAATTTTCCGAACAATAGATGCTCTTCGTGAAGTATCTTCCTCTTTATTTATATATTCTGCTTCGAGTGAAATGAGAATAATAATGCAGACTTGTTATAGGTATATAGGTTTCGAATATTGTATTATTCTATTTTATTGTTCGCTCGGCGTAGTTGAAGTTAAGTGCTGAGCTCATGGTGCTTGTTTCCTCACTTAAGTTACATGTACATGTACATGTACCTCATCATGAGCACGCAGTTGCCTTTGCTCTACGTTTTCACTTCACCGAAAGCATATCTTTACTCAACGCTATTCAATATTTATCACTTAATTGCTTCACTTCTTTTATCAGAGGGACTTTCAATAAATGTGGTCGTCACCACCCAAATTTCAAACATCATACCTGAGTTTGTCCCTTTCTTTTAATTGGTATGCCATATTATTAAAGTCTCTTTAGAACAAGGAGACATAAAGGGAATTTACAGTCTTTGGGGCCAATTTAAAGCTTACTTCACTGTGTTCATTGTACGCCCAATTGAACATATTCATGTAATGCAGATTTTTACCACAAGGAAGTCTACTTCTACTTAAGTTAATAATACCTTTTGCTTTCCTCAAAAATTATAAATACATAGTTTGTCTTAACTCTGATTAATGCTTCCGGTATTTCATTCCAATTAAACCCCAAATTCAAATTCCTATTGATAATACAATGGGTTACAACACTTATGTAAAAATAAGCTACAATTGAAGGTTTGGCAAATTACTTCATTCCCTTATGTTTCGTGCATTCTAGCTCCTAGTAAAAACTTCTGGTTATTAAAGAGAAAATCATTATATTCCCGGGTATTTACTAAACGTAATTTTAAATGTACAAATGATTCGAATTCAGCTTGCAGGTAGCATACCAATATTGACCTTTGTTTGTTCACTCGGATGTATAAAGCGTTGTCTAAAATTCACTCATTTGATACCAAGTGTCATTTTATCGAAGATACGAACTAAATTATATCCGTGCAAATCTCTTGTAAGCACCTAGCGGGGAGATTAAAAAAAAAAAAAAAAAAAAAAAAACACAGACAAAGGTTCAAATACAGGATAAAAAACACGTTACGGTCTGTGGGTTTTGAATACTAAAACGGGTGGTTACAATGGCACTATTTAGAAACATACCTTAGATATTGTTGAGAAGAAAACGATGACAAGGAGATAAATAATCCTGAAGAAAGATTGTATAGACGTTTCAGCAAACTGGCAAACCGTGATGTCTGACAGTGATGTGACTGTCATACACAAGCCGAATATGAGGCTTGATGACGGCTGCGTGGTGTCAAGACTGAAATATTACCTTTGAAAAAATTCCAAATTCAACACAATTTGATCGTTGTCTGCATCCAGTGGGCACGTAGTACATTACCTCGCCATTGTTGAAAAGAACGTGCTATGCCTGGCCCCTGTAGAAATGAATCAACACGGCGGTGGTTCAAACAGTCCTATTCAGTGAGGAAGAGTTGCAGCCATGGGTCACACAAAACGGGCACACCCAAGCAAATTACACATTGTCATATAACTTAATGGCTTAGGCATGGTAATGTATATATATTTTAAATGAAGAAGCCAGTATCCCTAATTAATGATTTGCATTGCATCACATTTTGCAAAATACACGAGAAAGCGTCTTGTGTCGTAAACGGCAACAATATTTTGACCGCTGCATTATAACTTTCTACAAATGTTGAAGTCTAGCTGCCAAAGAATGGGAGATCTAGGATCGACATCCCGGTGGTTTGTGTGTCTCATTTTAATATCGTGTGTCAGTTTTTGGCGTTGTGACAATCGTTAGTTATTTAGCAAAAACACAATTGCAATGGTAAAATGTCATTTGAGAAAACGTGCCCATGTGAAGGATTGTTCACGGACTGATGCGTATAAACGAATTACATTCAGCTGAAAACACTTTTAAAATGACTGGGGGGGGGGGGGGGTATTCTTTAATTTAAGAACGCACTTAGGTCAAATGGAAATTTGGATTCGGTAATAATGGAAATTAAATTTTGCTGCTTCTATTCTCAGATACTCTTTCGTATCAGTTTAAAATTATTCTCTAAATTGCCGACCGCCTCATTAATGACTGAAAAAGGTTGGCGTACATCCAAACGTCTGTTAAATAAACTAAATAGAATGTGGTTTTGTTTAGTTTGTTCATTAATAAAAAAAAGGAAAAGGGGCAGATGGTCATTGTCTTTCAACCAAATGCAAGTTAGTCCCACCATGGTAATTTTTTTAACTTTTTGAACTGAAATTCAGTTCGAATTGGCAAAATTCGAACATCTATATAAGAATTAATGCAAAGTTATCAGATAATTTAAATCTGTACAAATGGGGAGCCCTTTTTGGTCGATGGCGGTTTCGTGGATGCCAACACAAGATGTACAGCACTCCAGCATGTAAATAAACGCAACACAACGTCACCGGATTTAAACCTCAGTAAATATAACAGTCCTTTAATCGCTCTTAATACATTCTTCACTGCCTGCCAATAACCTGGGCTTGCACATTCCAGTGACACTAATGTGTGCAATGCACAGAGTTTTTATGTTTGTGGTCCCCATCTTTGCGGCTCGCCTTAATTTAAAGTATCATACAAGACCAAGGCGTGAAGACATATCGCCCTGACTGAGTGAACAACATTGCAGTCTCTGGTCTGCTGTTTAATTTCAGCCTCATTAAATCGAAGTTGATTTTAGTGTTATTGTTTTGGAGGCCATGTTGCTGCGCAATAAAACATTTAGATTAATTTAGCAATTACTCGTTTAATGTTCATCCGTGGTGCTTTTTAACGAATAATTACGAATGAGGATTCAAATTTGGGCCTCCTAAATGCGTGATCAATTTAAATAAGGTGACATTTGCAAGTGTCTTCTTTCTAGCATCTAATTAACGCGCTGACACTTGCTAAATATAGTGAATCATCAAGACATTGATTTTCATTAAACCTTCCCTTCCAATTTACCATGGTCACTTAACGTCTTTCTTCATCCACAAGATGCACGCGCTCGTGGTTGTCGTTTTTGTCACTTCTTTCGTATTTCCACAGGGAGTTTCATCAAAATCTTACATTTTTGATGAAGGTAAGGTTAAAAATGACTTTTTTCATATCTTGCAATGTGTATCAATAAGATTAAAATAATGCAATTTTTCTTGTAACATAAGCTGATATGTAACGTAGATACTGAATATTGATATACGATGATGTATTGTAATTTGTGGAATATACATGTTTGAAGTAAGACATGCGTCACATGACCTGTTAGAAATCCCAAATCAGAATTGTTGATGGTCTCAATAAATTTCATCTTCGGATTTTTTATTGAACCGCATTACGGCGGTCATCAGCACTGGTGTATCAGGGTGATAATGAAGGGACGCAGTTCACTTTTTAATGCCGAATGCGTACCTAAATGAGTCTTTTTAATTGATGCATTTATCTTTAAAGCCTCTGTCAACCTATGCCCAACAATATTACCTCCCCCCCAATATTTGAATAAAGACCAAAGGAGATGGTTTGTAAATGTTATTATTTTTATTCTAACGCCATTACAGGCGAGGAATCCCTATGCACAGATGACCCCCAGTTGCATAACGTGGGTCACGTACGAATAGACCCAGTAAACTGTGCCGCTTACGTCATATGTGAGAAGTTAGGGGCGGCGTACCGGGTTCATCATATGGTGAGTATAAAAATGAAAATAGCTGAAAGAGAGATTTTGACAAAATTCCTCACACAGTGTCCTGGCTCTCCTGAAAAACTGATTAATTATTAACCGTCAGTATATTGAATTAAATTTCGTAATATATCCTATGCAAAAGCGATGTTTATCTGCAATGATTTTTAACTGGAGCCAAGCGCACAAATGCATTGATCTTAATCCAGTGTCAATGCATTACCATATTCGCGTGTGTACTTTTTAGTTGTACCTTTAAAAATGTTGTACATTCACCTGAGCCATTTGTATACAGTGCTCTGTAAATGAAGGATGTTTGGCATACATGTATTGCTCGAAAAAATATAAAATATCCACCAAACTGTATGATTTTTGCTCGGGTGAGATGTGTTGGAAAGTTGTATTCCAATTCAATGGCGATATTTTCCTAAATGGAACTTGTTTTTAAGAAAAAATAAGTTATTGAAATTGCGCTGCACATGTGTCTAAATCATTCACGGACCCAGAATAACAAAGAGTCGAGAGGTGTGAGCCCCCCCCCATCCCCCCCGCCCCGCCCCGCGCCCGACATCCCCTTTTTGATTCCATCTATTCCACTGATTTGTTAACTGACATTAAAATCAACCAGGAGGATCAAAATCGCCATTCTGTCGCGGTTAGTAGTCATGTGATAACTATCTCGGCACACACGTTTGCCAAGTGCAAATTCCATCCTGTGGTAATTTCTAAGTCAAACTATTAATTTTATAGCCGACAAAATTCCTCACACAGTATATAATGTATGTGTGTATGGTGAATCTACCAGAATTGATTTTACAGACTGAGGTCACGCATTAACCCACTCATTAGCTCTTGTCCTACTTGGGTTATACGAAGGCCACGACAGGCCGTTGATTATTGAAAATCAGACACAAAATTGTAAAAAAATGTAACACATCGTCAGATACATGATGATGAAGAAAACCAAGACATTGATACATCTAAACGACATCTTAGGGTCAAATCTTCTAAAATGTTTCAAATGTACATTGTAGTACAAAACTATTACAACCAGCTCCAGTACCCAGCATTTCCATGCTAAATTAAAACGGTGTTCTTGCCAACTAAAATTAATCAACTTTATCCCAAAATTATGAAGATTGAAAGTCTTAATTGTCCTCGTAATGTACACGTGTCTGTGAACAGAGATGAAAGTAGAATAGTGTGCTCTTCAACCGCTTTTACCTTGACGGATCCAGAATAAATGTGTACCCCGAAATTTCAGTTGAATAAATCTACCTGTGATTAATGATTAAGAGACGGGCGTGAATGCCTGGTTTGTTGAAGCCATCTGAAATATTTGAGCAATGTGTCAATTGATGCTGATGTCTACATTTATAACATGTGACCGATATGCACCGTAGAATTCATCTTTCCATCAAGGAAAGAGGTCTAGTACAGGGAAAGGAAATTCGCTTCAGCAGGTCGGTGCAAGGAAGTCACACATAACTCTAAAACTTATAAGAATTAAGTAAACTTGCTTTTCTCAGTAGCTTATTATTGAAATAGTTTACATCCAATATTTCGATGTCTAACAGAACATCTTATCAGGGAACGAGGCTATTCTGCTGAATATATACCAGTAGTCTCTGTTCAGGAGATATTCTGTTAGACATCAAAATACTGGAGGCAAAGTACCAGTATTTCAATATCAAGCAACTGAATGAAGAAAAACTACTTAATTATCATAACATAACACAGCTGATGTACTTCTTTTCTGTCCAAAGCACATTTTTTGTAACGTGAATGAACAGTGTGACTTGTAGAAAGGAGACTACTCGGTATGACTAGTATCCAAACGCGTATACCATATTTTACTAAAATATTATTTTTTTCATTTCATGTTTTTTTCATATCACGGTCAGGCATGTAAACCCGGGCTGCTGTTCGACACCAACAACCTATGGTGCGACTGGTGCGATGCAGTAAAATGCGATAACAGGCCCATACCAGACGGACACTGCAACGGTAGGCCTATACAAAGCTTATGAGACGATGCTTTAATGTTAATACTGCGAGGTTGACATCCTCAACCCTATTTTGTTTTTGTTATTTTTCTTTTCGGCATTTTCCCAAAAGTCTGGTTAAAACGTTCCTTAGGCTGATAGTGTTACAAACTGAATGGAAATTTGGCAGTTTATTTAAGCGGTGGAGAGAAAGCACTCACTTAAAACTAAAAAATAAATGCATGTGTCACGTGGACAATAGATGGCGTTGTTCTGGCCATGAAGAGACCCATTATTTTTAATGCTCTGTTGCTGTAGCAAAGGAATGTCATTTATCTTTTTCTATGCTCTTAATGTGTGGCTCAGCTGGTGGGGCCACCATTTCTACAGACGGGACTTGTTCGTGTGGTATCGATGGAATGCTTACATGTACAATGAATTAAACTTGATTTAACCCTCAATTATGTCGACTGTAGGCGTAAGGTAAAGTGATTCGTCTGGGTCACCATTGGACCTTTTTCCCCTTTCCACATATTCAATGTAGCATCTTTATTAAAAATCATTCTAACCAACTACCACATAGCCACCTAAAGTGTAATTAAGTATATATGCATATGCATTCCTTGATTATAACATTGTCTGAACATCAGTCTTTGTGTAAAACACATTTTGAAATTTTTACTGGAAGTTTGTCACTGTAAATGTAGACTGAGATATGAGATAGTCATGGTGAAATGCATTTGTACCGAAATAGTTAAATTAATAAACTACTGGTAAGCAAAATGGAAAGTTAGTAGTTAAGTCAGGATTACCAGGGTTATTTTTTTTGTCATTCCTATTACAAGACAGATGTGTATAAGGGCAAAGTACTGCGTATAATATTATATGTATAATACGTATAGGTTTTAAAATTTTAAAAATGAATTTTTGCTCTCAGTAGCATTCACACGCCCACACATTTGTAGCCATGTTGGATATTTGGACTTTAGGACTGAGTTATCTTACAGACACAAAAGTGATTCTGCAAGCGGCGGAAGCACCACCACCTTCACCACCGCCACCCTCCGTGTTACTGAAAGGTAAGGACTCGAGGAGCCTCACTCTTGTAGCAAACAATCTGACATTTCATTTGGCTAAATGTTTTGCTTGACGAACCTTATAACACGTATAAGTTTATAAATACTGCGAAACCGGCTACCTTGCTGTTTTGCTACCCACATTTTTCTTTTCTTGTTAAATGGTTAAATGCTAAAATAATCCATGGCCAATAAAAATGTAGCCAATGTGTAAATTATATCTACCTTTAAAGCGTGGCTGTTTTGCTCTCGGGATGGGTGGGTGGTTGTTGGGGCGGGGGGGGGGGGAGGGGGGGGGGCAGTCTGAGAGCGGAGTGCATCCCATGCCCCCCATCGCTATTTTGTTTATGAATGATCCACCCCGAAATAAAATGTGCCTCATACACGCCTGGTAAAAGTAAATACTTCTGCATGATGGATTTTTAGCGTTCTTGCAATTAATAATCTGATGAATCTGTCTTAATCACACATCATGAGTTAAGCAGTGTGACAACAGAATGTTGCAGTATATATCACTTGGTTTCAGAAAGTTGTCAGTTTGAAAAATTCACACGCCACACGCTGGTGAATGATTCCCGGTCTTTTTATCAAAATGACAACGGTACCTACGAGCTGGTCTCTTGTGGACACTATGACTTCAACCTGGCGAGATGTCAGTGCGGCCCGGGTAAGTGCCAGGATGATGGATGATGATACTGAACGCGCCTGTAAGTAAACTCCATCATGAAATGCTTTAAGGAAGAATACAGCAGGCATCTAAGCACAGTCACTTACATTTTAGAGTGCTTTAATATATTTGCTAGAAGAGTTTGGTTTCACTTTCAGAAATTGAAAAAATGTTTGTACGTGAAATATTATGTTCCATCTTTAATACTCATTGCAGAATATTTCCCAATCGTTTACGACTTCGAGGGCGGTGACTTCCGATGTTCTCGCCCGGGCCATAATCTCGTCTGGACCGGCATCTACGGGGTCCTCACAATCGTACCAAGGGGTAGGGTCAATCGGTACGCCGCCCATTTCAAAAACGGTCATATGGAAATCCCATATTTTATGAATAGGAGATTTGGGGATACTTCTGTTGCTTTTTTCTACAAACGCCTCAAAAGCTCCGGCGGCAGCCAGGGACTGATTAACAACGGGAGAGTGACAAAATCTGGGGCACCGTCTGTACAAATATTCAGTGAAACGTGGTACATCCGAGGGGCAGTGAAGACGAATGTTACAACATACGAATTCATGTACAGGGACAGTGTAGGTTAATTTTTTCCTCTTTAATAATGTCATTTCTTTGTCTTTTGCGTATTAAGGGATAAAATATGGTACGTTTATATAACGGGAAATACCAGTACATGTATTTGCATATCTGTGACATACGTTACATTGCTAAAGGACCCAGTTAAATATGAGGACCACCGTGTCAAATAACCGAATTGTAGAATATGCACAAATTTTAGTTTGCACAAATTTTAGTTAGGTCTAGATATAATGTGAACAAAACTTTTACTTTTATCATCAATGTTATCGTCATACAATATATTCCTTCCATAACAACTTGTACTATAAGTAACGGTGAGTGACTGACAGCGGTATTTTTCAATCGTCGTACTCGTACAAAACCATGTGCTGTTGAACCCATAAAACCAAACAAATACCCTCGACGCCACTATAAATTTAACGTGGTTTGTTATATAATCAGTACATAGTTCGTATTGTTTCGTTGTTTTCACTTCCAGGACAACCGTATGAACGAGGGAGACTGGCATCACGTGGCCTATGTCTGCAACAGCACCAACCTGCTGATCTTTGTGAACGGGACACAGAGAGTGAACGTACCTATTGAAGGTTTGTATGCATGATCTTATCGTCTACGTGTTATAACACTTTTTTTCCATCCTCAGCGTTGTCAAGTTGCCTGTACCATGGTGACTGTCTCCATGACAACGGTCATCACGTGTTTTAAGTGTGAGGGCTGGCAGAGCAACAACCTTGACTAGTTTTATACATACATGTACATCCTCAATAAGTAAATAGACAAATGAGATAATAATTAAATAAATAGAAACAATATCAAATGAATGGATAATTAAATGGTTACACGATGAAAGTATTTTGGTTATTTTTTAACTGTGCGTTTTAATTACTGAACAGTGCGTTATTTTTTCTGAATAATATTATTTTCAGGTCAAATTGCTAGGCAACCGCATTCTCCAATGGTGATAGGCGTAGACAGATATATCGACCTTGACCTTGGATTCGGATCGTCAAGGTTTAAGGGTTACATGGATGATGTAAGTGTTCCAGCCAAGCACATGATACACACTAACTGTTTATATGGCCCTGAAATTAAACATGCCTGTCTCAACCAAATGACATGCCCCCTTGTCCCTTAATATTTTTAAATACCATTTTTCTTTGAAAAGATACTACGAAGAGCTAAATCCACATTATCTGGCGAAAATGGCGTTCATGCATCTATAACGAGAAAGAAGTCAAAATACTACGTTGTCTCTTAATCTTTAATAGCATTGATTGATTTTTCTTTGAAAAGATACTACGAAGAGATAAATACACACAAACTTATCTGGCGAATATGGCCTTCACGCGTCAATAAATAGAAAAAAAATCAAAACGATACATGGTTCCTTAGGGGAAACAGTGGGTCACTTTAAGGGTGATGGTGGCTCAGTTTATTTTTTAGGAAACGCTTTGTCGTGGAACAATTACAAAGGGTTCTTTAACAGTTGATGGTTTATTTAATTTTTGTCGTATTGTTAATCAATGTTGAAATACGATGACTTAGTCCATCGTCTTACTTGTAAGTGGCCGCCACCCGCTTAAATGTGTTATTGATGTGTATATTTTGTATTGGTTTACATTTGATTTTTATTTGATGTTTTTCATTTTATCCTAGATTCGGTTTTACGACTGGGCCATTAGCCATGACGAAATAGAAGAACTGAACAAACAGCAAGCCTATAGAAACGGCGCCCCCAAAAGTTAAGGAACATTAACTGAAAGCATTTGTCATCTTGGCACTTGGAGCAGTGGACGAAATACCATGTTTATATTTAACGTACAGTTAAAACATGTGTATATAACACGTTATTCAATGGAGCATCACATCACTTATTTTCAAAGACAAAATGGCAGAGCCCACCCCGCCCTCGTCCTCCAAAAATTGAGAAAAGACAATACTCCATGCAATCAAATTTCATAAAAGTTTACAGTCTAAGACTCTGTTCTTATGGTTTTATAGATTTTATTTTACTCTCTTTGTGCGCCTGTGACTCCAGTGAATGAATTAAGACACCCCTTTATGCCTATTGCTGCCGTGAAAAAAGGGAGAATACATGTAGTCGATCTATGTGCATGATCAGAAAATGACTGGATTTTTTCTCACACCATGCTTCAATGCATAACTGCATGGAAAACCATTTTGTTGTTGTCGGGCAATACAAAGAGACTGTATACAAGTACCATTTGATTTAGTTATGCACTATACAACGGGATTGGGGGGGGGGGGGGTATGGTATGAGCTGAATAACCAAAAGCGTCTTCAATATATGAGGCTTGTTGTGCAATACACCAATGCTCTGCTTATAATTGTACATACGTGTAAACAGTTTATTCACAAGCGGTCTTAAATTAAAGCTGCAATGCACACTGGCCATGCTAACATGAAGTGTTAACAGTTTAGAACAATAAATCATATCTTTAAGTGCTTTTGTTTATCGTCAATGTGTCATGAACGTGGTTTTGATTAAATAGGTACCAATAATAACATCATGGCGTAATACCTGATAAGGTGCTACACATTTTATAATGATATACATTTAAGTAAGGATTTCAGCTTTTATAGCCATTTATGTAACAAATAAAAAAAAATGAAGTTGACATATATGCTACGTTTCTATACCTCAACGACCCCCTCCCCTTTGGGATTCGAATCTGAACAAGCTGAATATCTCAACAAATTTCCATGCTGTATATTTTTTCGCTGTTAACATATTCAGCACATACATTTAGCCTGACCCTGGTTTGTGGTTACATTTTCTTTAAGCGAAATATAACATAATGTTGTTTACTAGAAAAATTGTCCCACAAGTAGGATCTTATAATCATCAACCCTGTAAACTCAGTTGTGACTTCGACATTTTGACTGTATAAATAATCATGCAACTTTAAGCAGACTTTAGAAAGTTAAATGGGCGTTTAACTACTTGAATGATCTTATTTCCAATTTAAGTGAACGCTCCCTTGCTCTTCTGAGGCGATTAAGTTAATTGAAGAAATTAAGTCTTTTATATGTTTTAAATGCATGCGCATGTATATAAATGTTGACGGCAGTTTCGTATTTATTTTGATTACCCCGACATGGATTTTTTGTTTGTGGCATTGATTTTGACAATATCGGTGGGTGTGGTGCAGCCGGCAGCTGTCGGTAAGTTGAAACCCTTATCTTCTACTCAAATATGTTCCACAAACGTGTTACTTCATCTTAATGACATGAACACTAGCTGGAGATGCAGCATTCAAATCACAAGGAAAACGTAAAATGGTGTGTAGACAATTTAAACATAAACTTTGCATTTTACGTTTAAAAGAACCTTATTTATTCTTATCTGTTTGCAGTATTAAAATATAAGTAAAAGTAGTATATCCAGTGGATATTTTCATTGTCCTCTGTGGTCAGTTAGCTATGTCATTTAATAATCGCTGTGGTAGACATAGGTTCTTTATTATGTATTTTAATTTCGCATTTAAACCTCACTCACCAATCAGCAGCCATTTTCTCCCCTGCCTCATCTCTCTTGTCCTGTTATGTCCTCGCACCTAGCCCTCTCCCCGGCCCTATCAAACCTGTCTTCTTTTGACGCCCCCTTAGACAGCAACTACTCCTAGTTCTTCATTTATTTTTAGCTTTCTTTTCTATTGGCGATATTTTTTTCTTGCAATTTAATTCAAAATCCTTGCTGATGCTTCATACTGCTATTTTTGTAGGTAAGAAATAAGATGACAGTTATCTTCCGCATTATATATATGTATACAGCATTGGTCAAAAAAGTTGTCCCATCCCCATTTCCATGTACTTTTATTTACAAATGATCACCTAACAGCTGTTAATTGTTAGAAATAGTGTTTTTTATTACGTATACTGTGTCTAACATGATTAATGGTTTAAAAAATACAAAATAGTGGTGAAAATGTACATATTTTATACCATTTAGTAAAATTTATAAGAGGTACCCCCTCAAATCGACTGTTTCACTGTGACTTCTAAAGATGTAAAGAAATGACTATAAAATTAAATAGACGCCATCAAATGTCACCAAATTCACACACAATTAGCATTAGGGTGTGCTCATTAAAGATCACGTGCCTAACAGCGTGTGCGTCTACCGCGTACTGCAATTATTTCCTGTAGATGGCGCGACAAGCCTTCAACACGGGTTACAATTCTGTTTTGTGGGATATTGTCCCATTCTTCTTAAACAAGTTGGGGGAGTTGGTCCACGTTTTTATGGGGTTGGTTCTCCTTTGCATTGCACACTCCAATACATGTCACAGTTGATTAGTAAGTTTGATATCAGGGCTCAAAGATGGTGGTTCCATCCTTAGACCATTATGTTTCTTCAACAAACAGTTGCCAGGCGAGAGGTGTGAGCAAGTGTGCAGTCATGATAAACCTGAAGTAAACCCCAAAGTCAGTTCTTGAAGATGGAATGAGATATCAGCTGAGAATGCTACGTTCAGTGATCCCACAGGCACCTGAACCTGGCCATCCATCACTGGAAGGAAGTTGATTTTGATGCAGAATCAAATTATTTCTTGTATCCCATCGATGGTCAAAGAGGGTCCATAGACATGTTAAAAAATGCCTCTTGGAAGGGTGTGTGTANACCAAAATGACAACGGTACCTACGAGCTGGTCTCTTGTGGACACTATGACTTCAACCTGGCGAGATGTCAGTGCGGCCCGGGTAAGTGCCAGGATGATGGATGATGATACTGAACGCGCCTGTAAGTAAACTCCATCATGAAATGCTTTAAGGAAGAATACAGCAGGCATCTAAGCACAGTCACTTACATTTTAGAGTGCTTTAATATATTTGCTAGAAGAGTTTGGTTTCACTTTCAGAAATTGAAGAAATGTTTGTACATGAAATATTATGTTCCATCTTTAATACTCATTGCAGAATATTTCCCAATCGTTTACGACTTCGAGGGCGGTGACTTCCGATGTTCTCGCCCGGGCCATAATCTCGTCTGGACCGGCATCTACGGGGTCCTCACAATCGTACCAAGGGGTAGGGTCAATCGGTACGCCGCCCATTTCAAAAACGGTCATATGGAAATCCCATATTTTATGAATAGGAGATTTGGGGATACTTCTGTTGCTTTTTTCTACAAACGCCTCAAAAGCTCCGGCGGCAGCCAGGGACTGATTAACAACGGGAGAGTGACAAAATCTGGGGCACCGTCTGTACAAATATTCAGTGAAACGTGGTACATCCGAGGGGCAGTGAAGACGAATGTTACAACATACGAATTCATGTACAGGGACAGTGTAGGTTAATTTTTTCCTCTTTAATAATGCCATTTCTTTGTCTTTTGCGTATTAAGGGATAAAATATGGTACTTTTATATAACGGGAAATACTAGTACATGTATTTGCATATCTGTGACATACGTTACATTGCTAAAGGACCCAGTAAAATATGAGGACCACCGTGTCAAATAACCGAATTGTAGAATATGCACAAATTTTAGTTTGCATGATGCCAGTAGGTCTAGATATAATGTGAACAAAACTTTTACTTTTATCATCAATGTTATCGTCATACAATATATTCCTTCCATAACAACTTGTACTATAAGTAACGGTGAGTGACAGCGGTATTTTTCAATCGTCGTACTCGTACAAAACCATGTGCTGTTGAACCCATAAAACCAAACAAATACCCTCGACGCCACTATAAATTTAACGTGGTTTGTTATATAATCAGTACATAGTTCGTATTTCTTTCGTTGTTTTCACTTCCAGGACAACCGTATGAACGAGGGAGACTGGCATCACGTGGCCTATGTCTGCAACAGCACCAACCTGCTGATCTTTGTGAACGGGACACAGAGAGTGAACGTACCTATTGAAGGTAAGGTTTGTATGCATGATCTTATCGTCTACGTGTTATAACACTTTTTTTCCATCCTCAGCGTTGTCAAGTTGCCTGCACCATGGTAACTGTCTCCATGACAACGGTCATCACGTGTTTTAAGTGTGAGGGCTGGCAGAGCAACAGCCTTGACTAGTTTTATACATACATGTACATCCTCAATAAGTAAATAGACAAATGAGATAATAATTAAATAAATAGAAACAATACCAAATGAATGGATAATTAAATGGTTACACGATGAAAGTATTTTGGTTATTTTTTAACTGTGCGTTTTAATTACTGAACAGTGCGTTATTTTTTCTGAATAATATTATTTTCAGGTCAGATTGCTAGGCAACCGCATTCTCCAATGGTGATAGGCGTAGACAGATATATCGACCTTGACCTTGGATTCGGATCGTCAAGGTTCAGGGGTTACATGGATGATGTAAGTGTTCTAGCCAAGCACATGACACTCACAAACTATTGATATGGCCCTGAACTTAAACATGCCTCTGGCTCAACCAAATGGTATAACCCTTTTGTCTCTTAATTTGTAATACAATTGATTCATTTTTCTTTGAAAAAATACTGCATGGAGATAAATCCACATAAACTTATCTGGCGAATATGACCTTCATGCACCAATTACTGGTAAAAGGGAAAAACGTCAAAATGCTACATGGTTAAACAGCGGGTCACTTTAAGGGGGGGGGGGGGGGCTAAGTTGCAGTGCATAGTTTATGTTTTGAAAACGCTTTATCGTGGAAGAATTACAAAGGCTCCTTAAGCAGTTGATGGTTTATTTCATTTTGTCTTAATTAATCAATGTTGAAAGACGTTGACTTTGCCCATCTTTCCACTAGTAAGTGGCCTCCATCCGTTTAAATATGTTATTGATGTGTATATTTTGTATTGGTTTATTTAGATTTCTATTTGATGTTTTTCATTTCATTCCAGATTCGATTTTACGACTGGGCCATTAGTCACGACGAAATAGAAGAACTGAACAAACAGCAAGCCTATAGAAACGGCGTCCCCAAAAGTTAAGGAACATTAACTGAAAGCATTTCAACTTGTCACTTGGAGCTGAGGACGAAAGACCATAATTGTAGTCCACGTACAATTAAAACATGTGTATATAACACGTTATTCAATGGAAGATACATACTAGTGCATCACATCTCTTATTTGCTAAGACAAAATGGCGGAGCCCACCCCGCCCATTTCCCCAAAAGAAGTGAGAAAAGACAATGATCAATGCTAAAAAAATTCATATGAGTTCACTCTCTACGACTATATTCTAAGAAATGCCCGATATTGCATCAATTTTGTTATTTGTTTTCTGCTAGACAGAAGCGGGGGATGGTGGAGAGGTTTTATAGATTTTATTTTACTCTCCTTGTGCCCCTGTGACCCCAGTTTCTGTCGTGAATAAAAGGAGGAGCGCGTGTAGTCGACCCACGTGCATGATCAGAGAACGACGGGATTCTTTCTCACAACGGGCCATGCTTCAATTTATAACTGCATGGGCAACAAAATTGTTGTTGTCGGACAATGCAAAGAGACTTCACAGAATGTCTTTTGACTTAGTGACGCACTGTACAAGGCTGAATAACGAAAAGCGACTACAATATATGATGCTTGTTGCGCAATGCTCCACTGCCCTGCTTAATTGTACACCAACTGTTAATTCACAAGCGCTCTTAATATTTAAAGCTACAAAACACACTGTACATGTTAGCTTGATAATAAACTGTTATGTGTTGAAAACAACTAAAATATTATTAAATGCTTTGTTTATTGCCAATGTGTGGTTTTGATTGAATAAATACCAGTGTTAATACCATGACTTACTACTTATTTAGGTTCTAGAAGCTTTATAAATATATACTTTCAGGTGAGCATTTTATAGCCATTTATGAAACAAACAAACAAAAAATACAATTGACATATATTACTTTTTCGGACCTTAGTGACCCCCCCCCCCCTCAATTTGGAAATCGAATCTGAACAAGCTGATCATCCCAACACAATTTCGATGCTGCGTACCGTTTTTTAATCACTTTTACGATATTCAGGACATACATGTATACCTGACCCTGCATGGTTTGTGGTTGCATTTTGTTAAGGTGAAATACACCATAATGTTGTTTACTAGAAAATTTGTCCCACAAGTAGATCTTATAATCATCAGCCCTCTAAACTCAGCTGTGACTTCGCCATGTTGACTGTATAAATAATCATGCAACTTTAAGCAGACTTTAGAAAGTTTAATGGGCGTTTAACTACCTGAATGTTCTTATTTCCAATTTAAGTGAACGCTCCCTTGCTCTTCTGAGGCGATTAAGTTAATTGAAGAAATTAAGTCTTTTATATGTTTTAAATGCATGCGCATGTATATAAATGTTGACGGCAGTTTCGTATTTATTTTGATTACCCCGACATGGATTTTTTGTTTGTGGCATTGATTTTGACAATATCTGTGGGTGTGGTGCAGCCGGCAGCTGTCGGTAAGTTGAAAACCTCTATCTTTTACTTAAATATGTTCAACCAACGTCTTACTTCATCTTAATGTGATGAACACTAGCTGGAGATGCAGCATTCAAATCACAAAGAAAAACGTAAAATGGTGTGTAGAAAATTTAAACATGGATTTCGCATTTTACGTTTAAAACAAGTCAAGAACAGTATTTATCCTTATCTGTTTGCAGTATCAAAAATATAATTAACAGCAGTATTTCCTGTGGATATTTTTATTGAATTCTGTGATCAGTTAGAAATGTCATTTAATAATCGCTGTGGTAGATATGGGTTCTTTATTATGTATTTTAATTTCGCATTTAAACCTCACTAACCAATTAGTGGCCATTTTCTTTCCTGATTATTCCTTGTGTCCTTTAATGTCTGTGTATAGCCTTTCATCTAGCCCTCTCCCCGGTCCTGTCGCACATATCTTCATTTGACGCCTCCTATGACAGCTACTACTCCTATTTGTCAATTCATTGTTCGCTTTCTTTTCTATTGGCGATATTTTCTCTTGCAACTTAATTTAAAATCCTTGCTGATGCTTCACACTGCTTTTTTTTGTAGATAAGGATAAGATGGTAGTTATCTTCTGCAATATATGATTACATATATAATTAAATGTTTCTAAATTTTCAAACAAATGCCTTGCAGCTGAAAAAGCTGTTGTTCTATTATTTTGTTCAAAAATTGGCTGTGGATGTGTTCCTATTTCCGCAATTATCCTGCGGCCACAGGGAATTTTCAATTGCAGTACCCATTTTATGGAATGAACTACCCTCACGCACTCGGACTATTGATAGTGCTGATGTTTTTTTAAAAAAAGACTTGAAACATTCTTATTTGCACAGCACTTAAAATTAAAATCTTATATTCGAAATTATATATTTTCTTATTTTATCAGACAAAGTTATTTTGTTTAGACAATTAATATCATAACCAGCATTAATCATTTTAATTGTTTTATTCACTTTAGCTTTTATTATTTATATAATTACTTGTAATTCTGATAATTTTATTTGTAAACAGCACTGAGACGGAAGTGTAGTGCTGCTTTTAAGAAATAAATATTATCATTATAGTTTAACTGTCCACACCCCCGCTTCATCCCGACTTAATTCAAACCCTAAAATGCCAGGCCTCTCTCTAATTCTAATCATACTAGTACAAATACATAATTCAGTGGCCTCGAGCTCATTTTTCCCCTTTTACTCTGATTCTGACTCGTTTTTTTGTTTGTTTCCGTCTTCCGCAGACCCGTGTGCTGCAGACGCCGACCAAGTCAATGTCGGCCCGGTGCGTGTGGATCCAGGCAACTGCGCTGGCTACGTGATGTGCGAACATGTCGGCAATTTCAAGCGAACTCACTACAAGGTCAGTCACCCTAGAGCTAGCCCAGAGTTCTGTCGTGCTTCTGACAGGGACATTTTCTACAGTTTCTTCACGACAAAAAGTCAGACTTGGCCAGACCTATTTCGAGACAAATACTTAGTGGTTTAGTAAAATAAAGTGACAATTTGTCTAATACAATAGTCAATTCTTTGTATTTCTTAAAAGAGACACCTTATTGTATCTTAAGTGACTATAACTAGTTTATCTTGAAACAAAGTAGACAAAATTATTTGGTCTAAAATTTAGGATCCACTTTCGGTCTTAAGTTGTTTTGTATAAACGGCCCTTTCGCGCCAAGGGCTTTTGCATACATGACTGTATACATCTACATTATAGAGACGTGCTCCAAAGCTTTATGCGTGCCACTTTTATTATACGGGCATAAGCTTGTGTTGTACATTGGACAGGAAAGAACCAGTACATTATTTTGCATGTGAAAGGGTGTGGACTGTCTGCGCGTTTGTGGCTGGATAATGTAATAGAAGTCCAGACCCCTGTTTCACAAAAAAAAAAAAAAATAATAAATAAATAAATAAATAAATAAAATAAATAAATAAATGAAATAAAATAAATCATAAAATAATAATAATAATAAATTAATTAATAAAATAAATTAATAAATAAATAGTCAGCTTCTCTGACTAAGAACTTGGTTTCCAACGTTACGTTATCACATGCACACATCTTGCCCTATCAGGAAGAGGGTCACAGCACTCTCATGGAAACCCTAATAAATTAAGCCAGAAACTATTTTTTTGTGAAACCGGGGCAAGTCTAGATAGTTACAGTTACCGTATACTGTAGAGATACATACAGAATATAGAGATACACGTTTTAATCATGAACGTTAAATAGTACAGTAATAACTTAAAACAAACCGTCTTCATTGCAAAATGAACAACAATTCGCGTTCATTTTTAAATGTGAAAATCCATCTTTGAACCTTCGGCACATTAGGTCTAATAATAAGATTTGGGGGTTCATAACCAGACATAATATCATCTTCATTTATACAAGTACATGTACGTCCCTTGGCTACATATATCGGTAGTGTGACAGCCATAAACACAACTTATAACTTGGACACACTACATGTATATTCTGATAGTGTAATTTTTAAACCTGAGGTCTTCCGCTGAAGCATTCTACTGCAAATTATATACGTTACACACGCCTTGTCCATATATTCGATTCAGGACAATTGTATTTAGAACCTCCTGTGTGGGTGAATTCCCAGCAAACACATAACGTTATTATAACGTTACCATAACGTTATTTTACCAATAAAACGTTATGGTCACGTTACTGTAACGTTATAAAACGTTCTGTGTTGGCCGGGTTAAGCCTTCAGTGTACTGTTACATGGTCTTGTAACAAATCTATTTAGATGTTTTCATATAGTTTTTTCACTATTCCCGTTAGGCAGTTTGTTTAATTTTTCATGCATTAATTGTAAATGAACACTGATGCTGAACAAGAATCTGACAAGTATATTTTCAAGACAATTACATAGGTTGTTGAAATGACGATTTTCAAAGTGTCGCATAAAACATCAATGCACAAATACTTTTATCATCAACAATTATTGATACCATAGCGCGCACTATGAGTTTTCCCACTTTTCAATTGTTTACATGTAATAAAAGAGGCAAATATTGTGCTTCGCTGCAGCTTGTAAATAGTATGAAATATCAAATCTACACACCGTTAGTCTATTATTACCAGATCAAATCGAGTCCAAAAAACGTTACACAATTTAGTGAAAAGACCGTTTAAATACTTAGTGATTATAACCTCTTGCTGGCAAAATATCTTATCAATTTCTATGTCTCCTCCATCCCAGCGTACCACAAACTTCCATAGTCCCATTCACAATAAGAAAGAAGGCAACAAAAATACTGATTGCTCTCTATAATCTGATCTCTGCCTATTCCAGGGATGTAAACCTGGACTTATCTTCGACCCGGTGCCCCTCTGGTGTGATTATTGTAACAAGGTAGATTGTGGCACTCGACCTCTCCCTGACGGCCACTGCGAAGGTGAGATGCTACTGCAGGCCAGTAGCCAGTTTTTTTTTTTTTTTTTTTGGGGGGGGGGGGGTGGAAAAAAAAACATTTTGCTTGGAAAAGGTCCCTTCTGGGTAAGAGTTTGTCTAGGTACATGAAGGTTTCATGTTTAGAGGTCCACTTTTTCAGAAAAAGACCCCCCCCCTTTTGAAATTGCTAGCTACGGACCTGTACTGTGTGAATATAATATAAATAAAAAATAAAGATTCTTCAAGTACATGAAACCAAAGCTATCTCACGTATCTTGGGTTTTTCTGAGCCCAAATCTCAACTTATTGAGATGTGCTTTTTTTCGTTGAACGATACTTTTTAATTACAATATTTTAAAAAGAAAATGACACTATTGTTTTTGTAGGACTCATGAGTTCGGTGAACGCGACAACCACGGAGACCCCACTCCCGCCTCCAGATGAGCTCTTGGGCGGTAAGTACATTCAGACTTAGTAAAAAAACTGGACAAAAATTCAATGTTTGGCCGTAATAACTCAATCTTAATACGATTTCCATCCTCCTCACGATTAGAATTGTACAAAATCTACCTTGCATGCCCTGACAAGCCATTTTGTTTCAATATACCACGACATGTGTTTTCGTGTAGTAGTAATCACTCGTAGCAATATGAAAGGTGCTGCCTATAAAAACTCAAGGCATCAACCCCCCATTCTGCAAGATTGATAAAAAATAACCAACGATATCTCAATATCAAAACTGCATCTGAATATACTGCATTCCAGATAGTTGCAAAGACATTGAGCAACTGGTCAGATATGTTATAACAAACAACACCAATGCATTCTACCGCCTGAACAATGGCCGCTTTGAATACGTCAGTTGCGGGCCTTGGATGTTCTCTCTTAGTATATGTAACTGCGACGCACCAGGCGCTCAGTCTTTGCTATACAAGGAAGGACTGAAGATTTCTGTGGTATCTGGAGTATCTGGAGGTTAGTAGTGCATTTTGCGGTACGTAATCATAATTGGGAAGATTATAAATAATACAATATTATCGGTGCCAAAAGTATAATTATGAATATATAGTACGCTTTTTGTGTTAATTATTTTCATTATCACAAATATTTTACAGGAAAAATACTTATTTGTTGTCATTTTTGAACATCTGACAAGCTATATACACCTGCTGTGATTCTGTAAAACCGTAATAGAATCAGGTTTTGTTAAGTAAATAGACGAAAATAGAGATGACAGGCTACGAAACGTCGTACGCACTATATTGGTAGCTGTAATTTCGATAAAAATTGTACACTTTTCATTACTCTACATGTCTATATTTTTTTAAGAAATCTGAGATAGTCATCTTTGTAAATGCACGCACATGTTAGTGTTTTTTTTTTTTGCGATTACATTCAATTTTAATCTTAATATAAATTTATAATTAAAATTCATTTGAACATTTCATAAAAGTACATATAAAAACACATGTATAAGACTGCATTCCATCATTTCAGGTATATTCCCTATCGTGTACGACTTTGAAGGCGATTTCAAAGCCACACGGCCCGGACACAACCGAGTGTGGACGGGAGTTTACGACCAGGCCTACATCGTACCCGGCGGAATTGTCCACAAGCGAGCCGCCATGTTTAAAGAAGGCCGTATGGAAATTCCCTATTTTCAAAATACATTTTTCGAGCAACTGACGGTCGCTTTTTACTATAAGCGTTCCTCCAAGGCGGGCAGTGGAACAATGGGCCTGGTGAACAACGGTCGCTCAGCCCTGCAGCCTTCCATCCAGATTTTCTGCGAGAGGACCTACATCCGGGCATCTTTGTTAACTGACGTGACGACATACGAGATACAGCACAGGGACAGAGTAATATTTTTCAAAAATACATTTTATTTTTAAATGTTGAATATAAATGCACATGTTTTTATCAGTCTGTGGTATATCGGCTCTAATGGCTTTGTCAACATAAAAATGTGAAAATGCTTTGTTTTGAAGTTAACCACAGTATACCAAAGTGCCGACAACAATAAAGCCACGTATACTACTATCCTGTATGTATCATCTGTCTTTAAAACCAAACATAAGCAGACTGTTTAAAACGATTGATTAGAATTAAGAGTTACATATCTAAGAAGGTGAAAATGACTTGTTTATCCGAAGTTTGATGCAGTATATGCAAATAAACGTTTTCAGAAATTATGTTTCATTTATATAGCTCCACAAATGTTCTCAGACGACAATGTTTACTATTTGAATAATACTTTTTAAGTTATTGGACTATTTTTGGCAGATTCCGTTTTCAAAATAAGTGCGATAAAATACACACGTACACACTTTTTCCAGAGTAATCCATTAGAAGCTGATGTTTGGCACCATGTGGCGTTTGTTTATAACACAACGAGTCTGGAACTGTATGTGAACGGCACGGGGAGAGTGGAGATTGATGTTGAAGGTAAGATCAGCCGTAGAAGGGAATGGGCTCTTGGGATTACTCAACACAACGCAACGGATAAGAGACTGAAACAAACTTAGTACAGGTACAGGGTTTGAGGTAGAAGGTTAACTAACAATTTCACTGCAAAGCCAATGGCATTTCAAAGCGTTGAAAATAGGCCACAGCAATCTCGGTTAAACGGAAAATAATTTTCGGCGAAAGGTTCACAAGCTCCTTCGGTAAACAGAAGAATGTTTTTTGGCATTCTTTGGCTTAAGTGCCAAAACTGTAAAAAGCAGAGTCATAAATTATTTAGCATTTATTAAAAACAAAACTGTTAAAGTTATTGAATTTTGAATTAGGCACATCTTTTGAGAAACCCGATATACATATTCCCAGGCAGCAGATTGATTGAATTATTTCTGAAACAAATCTGGGAGAGAATTACTTCATGTTTTCTATTTTGTTCCAGGTAACATGTTAAGACGTCCCCAGGCGTCCATGGTGGTAGGGCGGGACTATTATATAGACGGGGACTTGGGACAAGGAACTTCCAGCTTCGTAGGAATGATGGATGATGTGAGTTGAGTCAGAAGTTCTTTGTAGATTGTCAGAATTTGCCTGCGTTTTGATTATGCATTTATCATAATGTGTTATACCTCAAAAAGAAAAAAAAAAACAAAGTTTGAAGATTACAAAGGTATCCAATTATTCGTTAAAGATTTGCATAGTATTTCATCTATTTGCGTATTTACATTTTTAATTATATTTTGTGAGATAAAATATAATATAATTACGGCGATTTACGAAACAACATATATCGACGGTCTCCTCCTCTTGCGAATGCTACATGTAAGTTAAATACCAGAATAAAATGGATCGCTTGTATAAGATTAATTTATTAATGCTGTTGTACTTTTTTCCTTTATAGTTACGGTTCTATGACAGAGCATTGGACGACGACGAAGTCATGGCACTGTTCGAATCGCGCAATGGGAATAATAAAACATAGGATGAAAGGTCGCAATTCAAGAGCTATTTGTATTCGTATCACCTTTTTCTTGAACAACAAATGCGTTAATGATGCACAGTTCTGACTTTTTACCCACGCAGAATGTTGCTATGGTAACACTGTCACGCACTCAAAGCATGATTGGAATTGTACTGGATTTAGTTTTATTTAATAGTTTTCTATATATGTCAATGTGTCTGGACTGTACTATTCAAATATGCAGGCTGCTTTGACTCTTGAATGTTATAATGGATCATGGCGTCATATTTTTACCCTTTTAATTAAAAAAGTTAATGCATGCATCTTTCTGTATTTTTATTTTTATTTATTTTTTTTGCGTAAAAGTTGTGATATTACTGTTAATGCAGCTGTCTTAGTGCATTAAATATAATATCAAAACTGAACATTGCTGTAAGAATATGATATCGAAAAGAACCATTTCAGTTCGTCACATCGATGCAAAAATGTTCTCAAACGTGTTCTATGCAAATACTGAAAAATTCGTTCAGTGCATTATGATCCCAGACTATTTCTTAGAAATGGGACTGTCATGCTTGTTAAAAGACGAGAATCGGATTTAATGCAGAACTGTAATGCTGTGTTATTTACATAACATTATTAACAAGTGTCGTATAGATTCCTGCTCCCTATCCTTAATTTTATTGTTCGTGGCAGTATTTGGTACCAACTTTATCTTCCTTGGCCAGATACATGTTTTACATATCTTTGATCTTTTCAATAGCGTGGGCTGTGCTGAGACGAATGGCTCTTCTTAAACATTACATGCATACAGTTTATGGAGTTTGGGGTCATGTACGCTGGTCATTCGACATTTCTTGTATCCACATTGAGGAAAACATTCCAATGAATTATTGCTCTTTTCAGTGAAGTATATAAAGCAAAAGAACCGCATAGCTAACAATTCGTATCATTTACTTACATAAAGACTTACAGTGACTAGACATTATGAACTTTTAATGCAAAGTAAGCAAATCAAGTACACGTCATAAGTTAAACATACAGTGCAATATAATATAATATAATATAATATAATATAATATGATATATATAATATAATATAATATTGTTAAATGGATAAAATTGCGTGGAACATTGGCTTGAACGCGCGTTGATAGGAGCTTCTATAACGGGGATTTCAACGAAAACGACATTTAACTCTAATGCGGCATCTTTAAGTTGTAACTTCAATGGTATGCGGTTCTTGAACACATGCACTTATCAAATGTCCTGAAAGCAAACTACGCGAGTTAATGATCAAAACTACTTAACTCAACTCAAGTTTGAGTTCCGTTTTTAAAAGAGGTTTCATGACATACTTAAGCGTTAAGTGTTTGAAGTCTATCATTTAAACAGCCAATAAAATGCCGGAACTGAATCTTTTTTTTCCATTTTTGTGCATAATGCAACATATTTTAGCAGACAGCATAAAAGGACACTGCTCTTTAGTAGTTAATTTGGAAAAATACGCAAAAAAATTCTAAAATTTCAAAACTGAACATATATTGAAGCCAAGCCGCAAAACCGTTAAATTAAGTTTGTAATTTAACAAGGTGCATGTTGGGCAGGTATGTCTTATACCTGTTATATTAAGTCCGTCTAAAACGTTAAAGACATTAGGCATTTTATTAACCAAAATATAGTCTTTAACCTCATATTTCCTCAACTTAAAGCTCCATTTATTTAGCATCAGAAAGGAAGAAGATGGGGAACGTGTTCTAATTCTGAAATTTATTAGCGCTGTTGAAAGTCAAGTCATCTTATATAAAAAGACAGACATATTACCGGTTGTCTTCACACACCTCCCAAAATGGCGGCACTAAAGAGTTTCCTCGCGCTGGTGATCCTCGGCGTCGCTCTTGCACAAGACGTTGGTGAGTCTTGAAATAGAACAACAGGTTGTCTGATAATGTGTTTTTATTTTTGAAAAGCAAATGTTAATTAAGGATTTGTTTAGCAAGGATAGCGTAATGATTGCACACATTTTAGACTTATCTTAATTAATGTCGTGGTAACTGACTTCATTGAGTAAACCCATAATTACCTGTGAGGCTGTGATGTTGAGGATACTTTCCAATTAATGGTTACCTATGTGAAAAGGAATAATTACAAACCTCACAGCTGGTTCATCGTATCTAATATGTGCAAAATTATATGTTATATAATTATAAATATATGAAACAACACGTATTTTGGAATGTTTCATTTTGTAAAATAGAAAATGGGTTACGTTATTTTAGAAATGCCGATTGGGATGCTTTGAAGCATGAATAAACAAGTTCGCATTGGAAGCATTTTATTTTTCTCTGTCTTATTCACCTGGCATTAAAAATATATTATGCAGGAGTCAAGTAGTGATATTATGTAAAATTTCTACAAACAGATATCTGTAGTGATGACGACAAGCTGTTGGAACATGGTGCGATGTTCAGGATCTACGAGCAGGATTGTGCTAAATATTACTGGTGTGTCCTCGGCAAACCCATTGCTCAGGTATGTATACATCTGCTTTTATAATGGCGTAACTAGGAGATCAGAAACAGAATTTACTTACTTACTCCCAACTTCTTTTCATCCTCCAGAAGTTGAAACAAAATGTGTGAATAATTTATTTCATTTAATTAATTTCCACCCATTTCATCTATTTTCTGGCAGTGCTGTGTGTAAGATGCATGATCCTAAGTGTTCCGTAAATTATCGTATTGAGAAGGGACGGGGATCTTCTTTTGAAAAGGGGTAGGATGTCGGACTAGAGGGGTTGGGTATCTTAAATTTAACACTCCACAGAGACTGGTCACGGCTTTCTGCTGAGGAATATGGCGTATTTTAAATCAAGCCAGTTATTTCCAGGTGGGAGAGTTTTTTTTAATATTTATTTAATTTAATTAATTTATTTTTTGGTGGGGGGAGGTCTTTTTTTCTGAAAAATACCTTTGTACCATAACATAAAAACAAGATCAAGTTCTGACTCCGACCTCTTCCAGTCAAGAGGAGGCTTTATTTGAGACCCACCGATCATTCTTCTTACTATAGGCTGAATGGGAAAATATCAAATTACCACTAAGTGTAAAAGTAAAACCACAACTGTAATGTCTATCAAGCATCTAACTTAACTTAAAACCGTAAAGCAATTTTTTCTTTGACTGAATATTTTCATATTTCGAGTGACACTGTTCCTTTTTCATTAAAGCAACTTCATGTCAAATTGATATGATGATTAGTCTATTTCATTGGCTGTTTTTGAAAGTTAAAACCGGGCAAGTTGATCATCTTAAAATGCAACTGTAGTCTAGATACCATAACGGTGTCTACGTATTCCAAAACCCCCTCATCCATAACATTTATTACATGGAAAAAACGAATCATTATGTTACAGATACATAATAGACATTTGCAGAATACTGAATTAGAACATTACTCTGTTTTATAAAAAAAGAAAGAAAAATGTGTATATATAATCGGCACAAGTTGAAAGTTAAAAAACACACCAGGATTTAACCTATTACATGACCTTGGATTGTGCCACTACACCCCACTGCCTATCAAGGCGATTATTACCACATCAATCGTCTCGCGCAGCGCGTTAACGGCCCTTTCATTACCTGTCTTACGGGAAAACGGCGCGGTTTTTCATGGAACATAACTGGAATTAAAGCTTTAAATTTGTTTTCTCTTATGTATTCAATAAATGAAGCCGTTATATTTACCAGCCTAAACTACATCAGCGTGGAAAGTAGTAGCCCTTTTAAATGACATAAGTATTGGGCTGAAACATTAATTTATTATTAGCATTATAAAGCCAGTGCAATGCTGAATTTAATTGGAATATTACTGATCTATTTCGAAACAAAGACTAAAATATTTGTTTAAAAGCATAGATCGTTTTCGGACTATGTTTTCTTTGTGAAAAGGGTAATTATGTGCAAAGACCTTCTTCCAACCTTTATTGAATTTCGTTTCAGAATTGTTCACAAGGAACGCTGTTTGATGCGGAAGCGATGGGATGCTTGGGGTGCGACGTCGTTGATTGCAACAACCGACCTTATGATCCCATTCATTGTTTTAGTGAGTGTTTGATAGCAATAACAGTCCTTACGAGGTACCACTGACATCAGTATGTTTTACTACAGAAAATACCACATGTATTTGGGACTTAGAAACCATCCCCACAGATTGATCTATCCCCCTGGGGAGTCTCACTAAATTGCTGTCAACTTGGCCGGTTTAAATGTCTGTCAAGCCTAATAAAGCTGTTAGGGGGTAATTATCTTTACCCTAGCTTATTCGGTAGGCTTGACAGACATTTAAGGCTCTTGAGCTGACAGCAATTTAGCGTGAACCCCCAGGGAGTTAGGTCGATTCAGATGGATCGATCTAAATCTGTGGGAATGCAGTCTTAGTTGTCAACGTTATTGCGGGTTTGGTTCAGTCGATATATTAAAACAAGAAAACCATCCACAAAATAATGATAATAATAATGATGATAATGATGATAATACAAATAAAATAAATAGATGTATATGGATGAATAAATAGATAAATTAAAAACTAAATATATTAAAATAATCAAATTCCACAACAGATAACAGTTTACCTTCTTTAATCTGTAGGAGAGCCGGAGACGACTGTGGACGTTAATGCTACAACAACCCCAGGCCCCACGCCACCGCCAGAACTACTGGGAGGTGAGGAGGTTTTATAGATAGGAACCGTTACACTTTTCCTTCGTATATACATGACGCGCGCACACAAGCACACATAAACACACACACACACACACACACACACACACACACACACACACATTTCTACGCTCCTCATATTATGTTCTTTATGCTGATTGCTCACGCCACATAACAGGGTCACATGTGCATACTTACACACACAGACACACACACACACACACGCACACACACACACACACACAGAGAGAGAGAGAGAGAGAGAGAGAGAGAGAGGGGGGGGGGTGCTGGCTTATACGTGTAAGCACTACTGGTAAGGTACAGCGTACAGACGTAGCGATTACAGTACGTGAACTTAACCTACTAGCTCAACTTTCTTTTCGCATATGTTGGATAATGTTATAAACTCATCACTATTAAGCAGTGGGGAAATTTAAAGAAGGCACATCAGGGTACACTAATAAAAAGAGTTGGATGCAAAACTGAGAAGAGCAGGCCGTAATATAGCCATGCAAAGTGAAGTTTAATTGTAGAAAATGCGTGTACTGTTAGGTGTTAACCTTAGGTTATAATCATTGTAAAGCTATACTTGTACCGCAGTTATTAATAGATAAAATAATTATAACGTTCAATTCAATCCTCAGGTGATTGTAAAGATTCCAGAGGATTGACCCTGTACGCCCTGACAAACACCACCAAGGCTTACATGGATGCGGCGGATGGGAATTACGAGATAGTTTCTTGCGGTCATGACGAGTTCAGCATCACGGACTGTGAATGTGTGAGGCCAGGAGTGATCAGAGGTGAGTTGGGGGTGGGAGATTAGCTTGGGCGTCTTTCTTTTTAAATTTGGTTGATTCTGCCCTGGCAACTTGAATTTCTTCTTCTTAAAAGTATGCATCTGTCGTATCTAAAATTCCCTTTTCAACAGAAAAAAAGACTTTGAATTTAACTTGGTAAAATTGTTTTATTTATTCAAATTCGATTTGTGAATCATGGTCACAGTCTTTCAATGTGATGCAGCCGAATTGCAGGATAAGTCAAGAAAAGAGTCATTCCTGATGGTTCAAAAACTGTTACTACTGCACTGAGTTTATGCAATTCAAACACAATCACCTGCACACAACAGTGGCGTTCATACCGTACTCATATCACAATCCATACATGCTGTGCACCTATATACAAAACAAAATGTGATTGCTGCAAAACTGTATACTTTCCATGCATATGTTTTTCAGCAAAGCGCAAGGAGATCTTACTGAATTGTGAGGGCACCGTGACAGAGTCTAGTAAGGTTTGGGTGGGTGCCTACGGCAATGTCTCCTTGGAAGACTACAACGCACAGGCAGGGGAAACAAGCTGCAGGTGCTCTCAATAATCAGAATCGGAACAAAATAATCATAATCAGAACAAAAATAATCATTAAAAATTGAATAATACAGATAGTCGTTATTTTTACATGTTGATGATGTGATTAAGTTCTATCGCCTACAACAATGTACCCCAGACGTGTGCATAACAGTACATATGCATGTCAGAGGATGCGTTGAATGCATCTCCCGTGCAGAATCTACACCATGAACGACAAATTTCGAGACAGGCTCCAAACAAGCTTAAAAGATGAAAGGTTAAAGTAACTAATTTAAGAGATTATTTTTCACAGGTTTCTGGCAGGTCACTTGGAGATCCCCCACTTCATGAACAGAGCGTTCAAACGCTTCACGATCGCCTTCTTTTACCTCCGCGACGCCACGGGAGGAGGGCGTATGGGGCTCGTGAACAACGGGCGTGCCACCACCGCCCCGTCTGTGCAGATATATTCAGAAGTGAACGGTCTTGGTGGCTCCATAATGACCAACTCCTCTGAATATACCTTTTATATTGATGGTACTAAGGTGAGTCTTGTTCAGCGAATGACTGCACGAATAAAGGACACATTTTGGAAGAAGAGAGATGGAGGTTTAGTGCCTATAAGGCAGAGACTTTCTCTCTCTGCTAGAAAATCAATCGATGTTGTAACTTGGGTTTAATACATGTGCATTTAAAACACATGGCATAAATTTGCCAATATTTTTCGAAAAAAAAAAAAAAAAAAACAAGAATATGATTCTTTTCATAACTCACCATCATTAAACAAGTATCTTACATTACTTCAGGCTGACTCACGGTTAGATGATGGCATATGGCATCACGTTGTCATGGCATGTAATGGCAGCACACTGCTCATTTACATCAACGGAGCCGAGAGAGTGAAAATTAACATGGATGGTAAGACAGCACCGATGTTACCATGTGCATGCGTGCTCAGCTTACAACTTTACTCTGCGTTTCTACTGTAACGAAGTAAAGACTTGTTACAAATAATAGCATTTATTCATCAGACTAAAAATATTGATTCATCGGTTGTTTCGCAGACTTGGTTTTTAATAGTTTCTTTAATCAGCAGCTGATTAGGTATGATACTGTTATGTTGTCAATCAATTCACCCTCATCAGAAACTGAAGCTTTTATAAAAATTGTATTTTGAATGCATTTCTCAGCTGGAGGCTAAATCATCACCTGTAGTTTCAATCTTAAATAGTGCGACTTGACAGATATTGATAAATGTGTTGGTTGAAGAAACTCCATTAAGGTATATGGAAAATAAGAGAACAAAGCGATAATTTCGTTACAGGCCAGCCCAGACAAATGAAGGACTCACCTATGGTGATTGGAGTTGATCGTTACGCTGACGTCACAGGGAACTTTAGAGATACTTACTTCAAAGGGCTAATGGATAATGTAAGTATTTTTCTACTAAATGTTTTCACTCTTTTTGATTTTGATTTTTGAAATAAAAAAGTGACCTTTTGTAGATTTTGCTTTACGAAAAATAAGTAAATAAAGAAGAAAAAAGAAAACTTACACCCTTCATAATTTTCTGATACTCATCTGCAATTTCCCTATCCGAAACATTTGCTTTTTACATAGGCTTTCCTAGTTTGGCTTTAGCCACCTAATTGGTCGAATGAAAACCCTTGCATTATTTTTTTCTTTGGAAATGGAGAAGATTTGGTTTTGTTTGAAATTGATGTACATTGAAAATAAAAGAAAATTGGACGATTTCAGACAACACAATTCCCGTGCACCTTCTCGATTTGAAATATAAAGGTTATTTTCAATTGCCAAGATACCAAACCAATTATGGGATAGACCCAAAACAAGAAAGAAATCGCGTATAAACACCGTTATATAAGTTGTAATAGTAATTACACACGCGCGCACACACAAATAAAACTCACAAAGACAGCAGCTTGAATTTAACACCTAAACAAACACGCGTGTGCTCATGCATATACACAATTAAAACGCACACGCACCCACACGTACTATGTCCTTACCAATATCTCAATATGCACAACAAGAAAACATAACTAATAAACGTCACTGTTTAACATCATTTCAGATTGTTTTCTACGACGTGGACCTCGGCGAGTACGACGTCAGCAGGTTATACGGCCGGGAAGACGTCCCCTCCCCAAATCCTGACCAGTACAGCAACCCTAGTGCGGTATAGTGTTCTGAGCAGACGCAGAGGACAGAAAGACGCCATGGACGCTGTATGCTGTAAGAGTGACAATATTCCAGGGACATTTATGTTGTTTTATTACCTACATGACAGGCAAACACCTTATATGTGAATTTTCATTCAACAGATTTTCTTTGGGTTGTGTCATATCTTCAACAATGGCATAAATCAGCTGAGAACTGGACTTAAACAAGCGTTTACACAGTTTATTATTGAAGCTGTTGAGGAAGTTTTGAGTTTCTTCTTTGCTTTGCCTTTTCGTTGTCGCAATATGCTGTACAACAATTTAAAGATTAAAAAATGAAAAATATGTTCATTTTTTGTGTTTAATTCATTCTAAAAGAAGAAAATATGCACGGAATTCATCACAGCTTTGAACCTCATTGCCAGTACATATATATGTTATATAGAACATATAGAAAGCGGTTCTTATTTTAATAAAATAATCTAAAAGATGAAAGACCCAAGCTGGATGAGAAGTCACCAGATGCTAACAACGGACCATTAAAATCTGAACCCCTCGTTTTAATATTAATGATATCGTCTCCGAATCTTTAAATCTAATTGGCCAATTAAGGATGTACGGAAACACCCGAGTCTGTTCGATTAGATCACTTTTTAAGATCATGTACATTATACAGTAATGTACGGAACAGGAGCGACGTTTAGAACATCTCTGTCGCAATAATAATGCACCAGTTAAAGAACGTGATTTTCATGTTATCTACTCGCAAATTTTTCACCTCTTTTTACAAGTATTGCCTCAGTGAATGCTCACTCCTGCAGGAATGCCCACACCTACTCTTCTTCAAAATTGATTTGAAAAATAATAATACTGAAGAAACAGTCGAATATTTAACAGACATCAAATGAAGTTGCAGTTAACAACTAATACACAGAATCCATGTTTTCATTGCGGCGCATAGATCAAACTTTCCAAATTTTCTAGGTATATAGAGTCTGGCTAATCAGAATCAAAATATATATTTCATATAAACGGTAGTGAATGAACCCAAAAATAACGTGTTTATGCTGACATATTTCCATTTCACACACATGGTCCTGCAGTGTGTCATTGATGTTTCAATTATGCAGAATACATGGTGTATGAAATTACTACTTTTCAGGACTGTGCTTGCCTCTATCAAAGTTTCTCAGGCAAGACGTGCTATTAGATTAATAACACCATTTGCAAGCCTAAACCCGTTATCTTTGATTCTCACTGCCTTAATTTTAGGAGCGGCATTTAAGCTGCGAAAACAAAAGAGGATTAATACGCGCTATGCGGTGTATTGTCACATTTAAAAACATTTAAACTTGTCTAGATACTGATCTCAAGTCCACGTGGTTTGATAAATTATTTTTCAGATGATTTTATAGTGACCTCTGTGCTTATATCAGCTTGGTATGCTTAAAATGCTTAAAAAATGAAGCGATTAACTTTCTGATAGGGAAATTACAACTGCTTGTCAAGATGTTTAAAGAACGTGTAATAAACCGTTATGGAAATTGAGTGGTTAGAATAGGCGTAATCACACATTGTCCAGAAAAGTGGTCTATAGTGACGAACTCATTCCTGCTGCTGTTAAATTTCAGGAGAGGCTTAAAATGAAATCAGTATTTAAAATAAAATAAAATAATAAAAAAATGAAATAAAAATAAAAAAACTACTAGTTTTGCCTGGGTACTGATTTACCAGGGGAAAGAGAACTTCCTAGAAGTAGGCGAACACGTGAATGCAAGCGGTGTGCCTCTTAAGAAACAGACGGAAGCCAAAATAAAACTTTGCAAAGCTCTTGTATTTCACTTCACTATCTTAAATCTGGAGATGCGACAATATCCGACACTTCCTCTGTTTGAGACCGACTGTCGCTGTCACAGCTTGTTTCACATGTGATTTTCCCATATACAAACTCAGAGAGGGGAGTTATAATATCTGGTCTTCTTATGACTTAAATTATGCCAAGTCTGTCCTGGTCCACACTGTGCAAAAATGACGTAGGTCGCGATTATTTTCAACAAATTTCAACACTTAATCCCAATTAGCACAAAGATTCACGTTTCCCGTACCGACAGAATGCCGAATCAGATACCGATACCTACCAGTTGTCACCGGTTATCATAGTTTCCCCTACCTGTCACTTAATAAGATATGCAGACAAAAAAGATACGTGGCTATTAAAACGACCCCGCGCCGCTACCCCTTAATTGTGGATTTATGAGATATGAACGCCTGGTTAAGTCTTACTCTCATCCCACCTATTTTCTCACAGTTAAGTAACCGGTCAAGACCGTTGCATTCCTTGCTCTTGTTTAAGAAGCTGGGATCTGCATTCAATAACTGCTCTGCGGGTTAGCGCGTTTGTTGGTGTGTCTCTGCAAATACATTGCGCTGTTTTGCGTGATTACATCAATTTGTGTCAAGATTTTACCGCTGTAAGTAGTGGCATAACGGAACAGAAGCGGAACATAAACAAATGTTCTGGGCGCTCCTCAAATAGATTGTCAGACCCGCAGTGTGATATTTCGAGAGACACTTTTCAAGACAACTTTCTAGAGATCATTCTATGTGGAACTTTAAACCAAACAGAATGTCTAACGTTAAAGCAACATGGCTGTCCAGCTGTCTTTTTCTCTCCTTTCTCGTCGTCTGTGCGACAACGGACATCTACTTGGGAGGCTTAATGCCCCTGGACGCTGGTCACTATGGACTGATGCATGGTCCGGCCCTGATGGCCATGGAACACATTAACGAGAACCCTAGCATGCTGCCCGGCTATACCTTGAAGATGATCATGAAGAATACGACGGTAGGTGGAACTAATCAGTTATAGTTAATGATACACTTTGATACATATTAATTGATACTTTTACATATATTTTGATACGTAATTTTTCAGATCGTGGGATAAAATACTATACTTTATAAATAGTGTAAACTGGAATGGTGGAATAATTATATATGTATAAACTGTAATAATATTGTACCGGTACATGTATACAGTGTTATAACCGCACATGCGTCTACTTGTAGGCTATTATTGTTACAATCGATATTATACATTTTGGCATATGCAAAATAACACTGATCAAAGTGTTATGGTAAAAAACAAGAGGAACAACTTCAATCGGCACCTACATGTAGGCCCTAGGATATATTATACCACAGGACGCACACGGTGACAAAATACTGATTGCAGATTGCATGCGTATTAAAACAGACATGTACCAGGGGCGGATTTAGGGCGTCTTCTGGGTCTTCCTGAAGACGGTCAGATTTTCAAGTTTACATTGATGGGTATCCAATTTTTTCTGTCGGAAGACGGTCAAAAATGAGGAACGGATCAACAAAGATAATTTGGAAGACTGTCAAAAAATATCTCTGAATCCGCCCCTGTGTACCTATGATTTAATTACTTTTAGAAGCACAGGGTATGGACACGAATGCATCACACATTTGGTTACTGAAAGGCGTATGCCAAAGTACAAATACATAAAAACAACTTGCAGTTAATGTTTATATAAGAAAGCAAGATAAAACTGCGTTGCCAGAGTTATAAAAAATTAGTTTACCTGCGAAAATGAGCCTCTAATAATTTTACTTATAAACATTTAGGCCTACTTAACATACTCAGCATTACCTATGGTACCGTTAGCATCTGGTGACTAACCTCCTTAAATCTCGATCTAAAACGCGATTAAAGCTCTACATCTTTTAAATACTGATCAAAGATATAAAACCTGCCCTCCATGTTCTGTGTCTGAGGGTGCGTGGTACCCACGCAGTTCAGGGGGGCCGTAGCAGGGTTATCAACTTCCAGAGGAACAGCTATCTCCGGGATCGTGATAATCTGCCGTGTAACTGTCGTATGAAGTTGATTTCAAACGATATTCAGATGAGCAAGATTTCCTGTGAAATCCTGTGTAATATCGGTAAAAACAGTACTTATATGTTATCTGTTCGTACCTGTTCTTGCAACTTGTTTTCAAAATAATTAATTGATAAACTTAGTTAGATTAGAAAATACGTGTTTGACGTAAAATTAAGAACTTTTAAATAAAGAGCACTGGGACCAAGGAAGCACAGCTCGGGACCTAGTTTCACATACCATGGGTCACTTACGGTCTCCCCAGCTCCGCCTACCCAGGCGTAATTGACATCTAATCATTGATAAGTGGCATGTGATTTGCATATCCTGTTGAGTCAACAGTGCACATGGGTGTGTTAGATTATCCACTGTTGACAATTACAACCCGTCAATAAATTGAAAAAAAAAAGAATGACCAAATGCCCATATATTGTACATGTATCTACCGTGGAAAGACATTTAAAGCTTGATGAAACGATCTGGTACTGACTTTTTATGTAAAATATAACTGTTAATTAAGGAAAATATATTTATACCAGCCGATATTTCATTCGCTTTACTTTGATTCTGTTTTGATGATCTGTGTGTGTGTGTGTGTGTGTGTGGTGGGGTGGGGGGG